GTATTTCAAGTATTTCCACTTTCCATGTTCCTGGTAAAATTACCAGCTACTTTAAATTGTTGTTAAACCCAAATTCGGGTGTTGGTGATTTTATAAGTTAAATGTCCAATAAATATTTTATCAAATAACTCATTGACATGCGGTTGTTAAAACTTCCAGTTAACTAACATGAACTCTGACAGGCACCTGAGAAAATGCGACTTTTTTTTTTTTGCTATTTCTTTTCGTTTTTTTTTTTCGCTTTTTGCCTTCGCTAATTTCCCATGCTCCGCATCAAGGACATGCCACAGGCGAATCGAAACCGAAGCAAACGATGCCAGGACATCAAAATGTGCCATGTGTGTGTCATGCTTTTATTTTCCATAGGTTGCCAGAGGCTAACCTCCCCGTCGTCCATTGGCGACGAGACTCCATAGGCCCAGCGGCGCCTCTAGCATTAAAAATTGTTTCGCTTATGAGCCGCAAATGCTACGCTAGCCAATAAATCAATATTATTTATGCAAAAAAAAAAAAGGCAAAAGGAACAACAACAGGAGGGCGTCACGAACAAGAACAAACATTTACGTTTGTTTGCCATGAAAAACTTGAACTAGTTCTGTTCTATGTGTGCCTCCGTGTGTGAGTGTGTGTGCGTGTGTTAGTGCTAGGGTAGCTTAATTATACCCTAACATTGGGCTATTAGGTTTCTGCGATCCTTCAAGTATGTAAATAAATGAATGCCCGGTTATTCGGTGCACAGTTCACACCAGGTTGAGGTTCGATTCTTGAATCCACGTTTAGTTTCGAACTTTGGGGAACCATATATTTTAAACTTGTTAAAAGAAAATATTATTGTTCTTCAAATAAGCGAGCTTAACTATAACTCTTATATATTATCTATATCCTCTTCACATCTATATCCTACTTCAATATCATATATATTCTGCTTACTTGCTTTTAGTCCCCAAAGGGTATTTAGCCTTCAGCTATAGTTAATTTGTTTTCTTGGTTTAATGAGTGTTTAGCAGGTGCGCTTGCACCTGGCGTCTCGTGCTACTAAACCAGCCCATCCCGCTCCTTCGGCTCCTACAGCCCTGCGTCCAATGCGGCAGCTGCTCCTGCGCCTGTTTGCATGCTACATTTTTTTCTTCTAGTTTTTTTCGGTAGCTTCTGCTTTCGGCTCTTGACCAGAAAATGTTGCCAACGCGCTGGGTAATAATGTTGATGTATTTAAGCGTTTTGTGTTGCGCTATATCATGTAATATGCACACACTAAACTACACACATACACACACACACACACACACAATTGCTACTTATGTATGCACATGCATATATGAATGAATGAGAAGCACAAGCGAGGCGCACTTCCATTGTTCAGCATTTGCAGCAGACGCTTGTGACTGTGTGCGTGTGCGTATGTGTGTGTGTGTGTGTGTGTGTATGTATTGCGGTTTTGTGTGCGTGTGCGTGTGTGTGCTGCTTATGCTGTCAGAATGTTTGACTTTGTATAATAAAAAAGGCCCCTTTTAAAAAACATAAGCTACTTTTGTAGTGCCTAAACGCGCCGCTAAATGCGAGAAGCCAACAACAACAAGAAGAAGAAGAAGAACAACAACAACAACGGCCACTCGAAATTTCACATCCAACTCCTACTCACACTCACATGCACAAATACTGCACGCATGCATATGTGTGTGTGTGTGTGTGTTTACACATACTTTTGCACCGCCTGCCGCCACATTTCTGCAGCCTGCTGCCACTCAATCTATGCGCGCTACACTGCAAAAAAAAGGGGTGCACATTTGAGAAATGAAAAAGCTTTTAAATTTCAAATGTTTCCAAAAGATATTGTGGAAGGTAAAATTATAACACTTAAGACTTTTAACGCGGTGCAGTGCAAGGGAAACTTATTGGCTTTTGCGACTCAATATTAAATATCATTTTACATTTTATTTGTAGAAAATTAAAATTTTCCCTTGAAAAATTTAATTCAAAAGTTCAAGTGTCGACACTTAAAACAAAACAATCTATCTATTCATTGACACAAATATTTTCATATTATCATATCATATTTTGCTCATGCTTCCCAACTCAAAAAATATATATATTTTTCAAACATTGATCTGACAAATTTAGATCATATTTTCAAATGTTATGCACTTTTCTTGCAGTGTATTAAAACGTACTCTGGGCCTGCATGTGTTTCCTTAGGCACATCTGCCCATTGGCAAACATGGCCGAGACCCCTGCGCCCCTCCCTTCCAGCACATAGCTAAATCATATTAAAGCTAACACCTGCCCCTCCACTCTGGCCTTTGTTGCGGCATGAAAATAGTGTCAGTTGAAAGAGAGAGCGTGAATTCCCTCTCTTAGCCACTCGAAGGCCGCAGCATGAAGGCACGCACAATTATGTTAACGCATTAACATATTTATAGTTGGCATAGTTACATAGAATATATAATATATATATATGTTTATAGAAGTGCACCTGCCTGATCTGGCGGCAACACAGTCTCAGCTGCGTCAACTAATTGCGGTCGCTGCCCGTCACCTTCTGCCTCCTCTTCAATCTGGCCAACTGCTCTTGGCCGAAATCAATTTGCAAATTTGTGCGGGGGCCGCTGCCTTTGGCTGTCAGTTTTGAGTTCATTTTCATTTGCAATGTCCGCTTGTCCATTTGAGATTTTGCCTCGGGCTTGTTTATCACCCCCTCCCCGCCCTCATTCTCTCTGTCATCCTGCCGCAATCTGTCTCTTTATTTTGCCTGTTCGTTGTGTTTGTAATACCCTGTAAGCATTTAAAGCGGCTAATATGTATTTGCCCGAATGTGTGTAACAGACAGAATGAGGCATAGACCTGAAATCGATAAATATCGGTTTTGTCGTGCTCTCGATTTTTTATATAATTTTTAAACTTGGTGCCTTCAATTGGCTACGATACTAAAAGAAAGTTATTTTACAGCTTAAAAGCTATAAAAACCTCTAAACTTAATGCTGGTATAATAAATACAGAAGATTTTTCGGCAAGAATTTTCCATAGTCCAGAGTTGCGATGAGGTCGAATGTAAACAAGTAAAACAATAATACGAGTACCTATTGCGACAGCTCGTGGACAGTACAGGGTGTCTCTCAGTCTGTCAACTGCAACAAAAGCATTCTTGTGCTTGTCTGTGATACATTAAAATTCCTGTTGCCCATTTACACATGTCCAACATGACATAATCGTTTTTTCGGAAATTATTTAGCAAGGCCTCCAAAAACTTGAAACCTCAACTTTGATAAACACAAACAAAGACACACACACACACACACAAACACACACACACACCACACACTCTTAAACATGTGAAGCGTTTGGGGGCTTCGAATGACATCTCTGGGATTTGATAATAAACTAATTTGTGCTGCGTTCTCCACTCTCGTTTGTTGTCAGCTCTTTTATTCATGAATATGCAATTAGTGTGCAAAATGTAAGTGTTACGAGCGCTCTATTGCTCTATTTATTATTAAAACTAAATGATTTTAAGTACTAGTATTCAATTTAAATGTTTGTCGGTTCTACGCTGGCAGTCGGCCAATTGCCCAGCCGACCGTTTTGGTGTGACGAGAGCGGGGTCTTCGAAAATATGTAGGCTTTGAAATAATTGTCGAAATGCCACAAAGTCAAACAGAACATAAATTGGTCATGTTCAGGCAAAAGCAACAGTCAAAGGTCTCTAACTGGGTCTGCGCCATGTCAAAGAATTTTTGCGGAAATTTACTCAACTGGCTAGCGTATTTCTTAGTCAATTTTAATGCCTTCGAATTGCAGCAGACTTGGGCATTAAATGTGCCATCCATCGGACTGTTGAATGATTGATTGATGGCAAAACAAAGTATTCGAATCCATGCCTGATTGCATGCATTCATTTTTAAATTTAATTTCACTAATTAATTTGAATATTTGAAGAAGTTAGCTGGCTTGCTTAAGCCACGCTGTTAAAGTGACACTGTTAAAGAGTTATGTTAGGTTTAGACTGTTAATTGTAACTGTTAAATTGCAAGCTTTCATGAAATTGAATACTGTAAATTATAAATTATTTATAAAAAATTGCACATTTATATCCTTGCATAGAAGACATCTCCGACTTCATAAAGTTATATATTCCAGATCATGAGCAGATAAAGAGTCGGGCTTATATAGCCATATCAGTCTGTCCGACTGTAAGTTTCTATACGGACTATTCTCTCAATTTTATTGTCTTGCAACGTGTATGAAATACTTTTCGGGTTTTTCACCCAACTCGGCCTTTATAAGCTACTGTATAGCTATATAGAAAGAATTGATCGGAAAAATGAGCTTTTGTATGACAAGCTATTCCGTTTTTGAATATATTCTAATCAATCGCAGCATTAACGAGCTTTACTATTCTGACTTATCTGCAAAACCTTAGGGCAAATGTCCATAAAGATTTTAAGATATTCGCACTTTCTCGTTTAATTTATATTTAAATATTATATGGAAGCGATAAAAGACGACCTTTGATAATATACTTATAAATTCTAATGAGCCTTACCTAAAAGCAGGATGCTGGTTCAAACCATGAACAGAACCAACCTTTCTTTGGCAGCCCCAATTGAAATGGATTTACACACGCAGCTCGATGAGAGGCAAACAAATTTCTATAAAAATTTCCATTTTTATAACCAGCCTTCGACTTAGCAGCCATAACATTGTCTTGTCATATAATATGTGCAAAAATGTTCAATTAAAGTTGATTGAAAATAGAAAAAAGAAAAGAAAAGAAAAGTACAAACGTTTATAATTAAAATTCGTGTTAAATATTTTGGTTAATTAGCGTTGCAACTGATTTGAAATGGATTGTGTGTGTGTATGGGTTTGGCCCGCCCTCGTGATGGTCTAATAACTGGGCATCAGTTATTCAGTTATTTGGCTAGCGATTTAAAGATTAATTAACAAATTAATTGACGCCACATTCACTTTGTCTCAATTCGTTTTCGTCTTCATCGTATTTACAGTACTTCACACCTCGGCGAGTTTAGCGTTAAACGAGAGCTGGGATCCAGACGTCAGGTGAGCCATAGACATGCGCGATAAATTGAATGAACATCTATATATATGTATAAATATGCTTTTCATTTTTACAGAGACGATATGGAAATGATGTTGAATAAAATAGTTCCCGAAGGTTTGCCCTACAGGCATTCGTGCGAAGGACCCGACGATATGGTAGCTATACTTAACGCGTTTAGTTTACAGCCCTGCATCAAGTTAATCGAACAAGTATTTCGATCGAGCGAGTCATGAATCAAATGATTTCGGCTCGAGCTGCATTCAATTGAGTCCGATCGAACTCAGATCGAACATGTTGCATGTTCGAAAACGAATAACTGATGCGGGGCTCTAGTATAGATAAATGTAAGGTCTTTAAATTAACCTATTTAAATTGTTGCTTTTCAGCCCGCACACGTGAAGGCCTGCTTTTTGGGCAGCTCACTGACAATCCCCATTACCGATGGCAAACTCTCGCTGGGCACCTGGCAGGGCGTTTGGCTGTGCGAGCATCGCGATCAGGCCGGCAGCCGGAAGCTGGTCATCACGTTGACCGGCTGTCCGCGCGAACAGGCCGTACGCAGTCCGCTGTCACCCGTCTCGCCCATTGCGAGCACCTCCAGTTAGGGGCGGCCTCGCTCCACCCGCGACAGCCGGTAATCGCGGGGGAGCGACAATAATGGCATCATTTCGTCGAGGAAGTTGATACTACAAAAGAATTTAGCTAGAGCCACCGCACAGCAGCGAGCGGCGGCCGTAATTGCCGCTGGTCGTGGTCTAATTGGAGCAACTGCATCCGTTGCGGCGCCGGCGCCACCAGGTGCCGTGTTGCCCATCGATACGAAAACGCAACGTTTGCTGTTGCGGCAGCGTTTGCATTTAAATTTAAATTTAAATGTTAACGAAACGCTGCAGGATGGCGTTGATATTGATGATGTTGATGAGGATGTCTGCGACGATGACGACGACGATGATGATGATGATAATGATGATGATGATGATCAGGTGGAGGATGACAGCGTCGCGGATGTCGTCGATGCTCAGGGCAGTGGGCATCGCCGTGTTGGTGATAATTTACAAACCGTCACAACAGTGCCTCAAACCAAACAACAACAACAACTAAGACATAAGATCACCGCAACAACAACAACAACAACAACCAGCTCATCAACAGCATCCAATAGCGCATTAGCTAAATTCAATCGCATACTCGACTCTGCTAAACTGGAGCCACATCGCGCCTCCTCCGCGTTCAGCAGCGCCACGCTGCAGCAACGCCTCGCGCTGGCATATCCAGAGCTGCAACAACAACAGCAAGAACAACAACAGCAGCAACAACAACAACAACAGCAGGACGAGTTGCGGCAAATCGACAACCTCCCACGTGGCATTGCCGTCGTTAGCACTCCATTAACCATGCAAGCACTAGACACTATAAAAACCAAGACGGCGGCAATGTTGGAACAGCAGCAACAGCACAACGCTGCTGATCAAACGAAACGAAATGATGTGCATTATTTGTTGAAACAGTTAAATAGTTTTAGTGATATAGAAGAAATAGAAATTGTTGATATGAAGCAAAGAAAGCAGCAGCAGCCAAAGCAGCCGCAGCAGCAAAAGCAACGACAGCAGCAACAACCTCAGCAGCAGCAGCAGCAGCAGCAACAACAACAACCCCCACAACGCACAAGCAAAACTGGCGCTGCCTGCTCCAGCTCGTTGGAGCTAATGCCCATGTCCCGGTCCATGCTGCCGCTAGCCTTGGGCTCGCCATCGACACAGTCGCACAAGGGCAACTTTATGGAGCATGCCGGGCCGGGCGAGAGCAACAGCTCGACACGTCTGCAATTCGATGATTATTTATTCGAATCGTGCCACTATTTGGAGACAAATTATTTTGCCGCTACCTATCGCACTGCCATGGTCGAGAGCTGCTCGCACGAGTTCCGGCCCTCGACCGCCACGCCGCCAACGAGCGTGCGCTCTGACAGCTTTGAGCTGCACGAACTGCAGCCGTCGAGCGTTATATGCAAGGCGGCGGCGCCACCAGCCAGGCTGGATGCGGACTCACCGCCGCCGTATCAGGCCGAGGTGCGCATGACCAGCAGCGGCGTCCAGACTGAGCTGACCGTTGAATCGCTCGCCCAGCTTAGCAGCAGCAGCAGCAGCGGCAGCGGTGCCAGTTTAGGCGGCACGCCTCAGATGCCACCGCTTTTCATATGCTGCTACACGCCCATCGATCGTTGGCGTGCCAGGCGTTTGGGTGCGGCAGCTGCCGCTAAGCGAGCCAATCCCGAGAAGCACGGGCATCCCGTCTGACAGTGGATCCGAAAGTAAAACCAAAATAAAAACTGGCTCAAAAGCCAGCTGCGCTGATTTCATTTGCGATATCAACAAGAGATTCCATTTCGAAGACAGTCAATACAAAAAAAAAACAACGCCTAAATATTCATTTTCCAAACAACAAAAAACAATAACAAAAACATGTACAATTTTTTATACACACCCACACACAACCATTCGCACATTTTTGCAATACACTACCAGAAAAGGAAAGAGTACATTTTGATAGACTTAAATCTCAACAACAACAAAAATCATTTGGAAATGTTGTATAAATAATGAAATGGAAAGGAAATTTACAGCAGATGTCATAATAATTGAACGGCAATTGAATTGTTTCAATCAAATAAAATACAAAATTAAATTAAATGCAACAAAAAAAAAAAAAAAAAACAAATTGTTAACAAAATGCGAAAAAAAACAAACGCAAATTTGGAGCCGGCGAAGGAGAAGGAGAACGTGAGAGCTTGTATAGTAAGTTGTTTAATAAATATAATAAAATAACAAAATTCAATACTAACTAACTTTTTCAACTGAAACGAGGCGGCGCACACGCCAACAACAAAAAATAAAACTCATGTTGTCCGCTTTCTCTGCCAAATGCAAGAATCCAAGAACAAAGACAGAATAAATTTAATAGGCATGTTCCGAATTTCGCCTGCGCCTTCAATGCCAGCTAAATATTAAGAGCATAAATTTTGAGTAAGCAAAAAATCAATTAAAAGCTAAACAAAATTATCAACCGCAATTGTGGCGAAAGTGTTTATCGGAACATGCTGTTCAGTTAGATTTATTAGCCACAGTTCAGCAGCGTGTGCGTTTTATAGTCAAGTTATGCATCGATTTTATTACAAAAAAAAAGAAAACAAAAATATCAACAAATGCAATTGTTACAACAATTAACACTCAAATAAAATAACAAAACAACTATGTTCCAATTTACGCTTTCGCCACAATTTCGCAAAGATTTCGCTTGCATACTTCTTGTGGCAGCGGCTGCTCCAAAAAGTATGCTACACTTGTTATTGTGAAATTTTCTCAAAACTGCAAATCGGAACATAGTCGATTTTTTTTGTTAATTTAATTTGTAAGCAACAAGAAGTAGAAAAAAAAAACAACTGGAATTGTTCGAGCACAAGCAGCGACTGCTTTTAGTTTTGTTTTCTCATCAATTGTGAAACCAAAAGAAAGAAATGAAGCAATATTAGTTATTAAACTTCTGTAAATCATGTGTAGAATTTGGTCAATTTGGTTCGTAAAGCTGGGAAAAGAAAAAAAATTTAAGCTTAACTATTCCATTAATTAATAACAAATATCAAATAACAAATAACATAGGCATAATATCACGAAGCTTAAATGAAGACACGCGCTTTAGTTGAGCAAAATTCGATTGGAGCACAATGAAAATTCAATTTTTGTTGTTTTTTCAAATGAGTTCTCTGAGTTTTTTTTTCTTTTTTTTATATGTACAATTAATTGAGCATATCAAATGCTGACATTATTGGAATGCTAGCAAATAGTGAATGTAATTTCAGGTTTTTCAGCTCAGTTCTTCCAAAAAAAAAAAAAAAACACTAAAAATCATAAATGATTACAAACGATACGAGTATAAAAGAAAATGAATAACAAAAAAAAAAAACACAAAAGCAACCAAACAAATGCCTTTTACATGCCCACACGTACACTAACGAAACGAAAAAAACAAACTATATACATTAACTAATGTTTATTAACAACAATTATAATCGGACTCGGTAGGCGTTCAGTTCAAAACAAAAACAACAACAACAAAATAAAAATGATCACACAACTTGTTGAATGTGAAACTTGGAACGCAATTACTTGTTGAAAATAACTGAGAACAACTATTGTTAAGTGGGTAAAAAATTAGCAAAGGAAAATACTTAAAATAAAAAAAAAAAAAACAAAGATAGACAAATAATATCTATTGTTGTATGTTTTATTCTGAAGCGCACGAAACATAATAATAAATAAATAAATAAATAAATAAACAGCAATGGCAAAATACAAAATGCAAATGAAATGTAGCTAAAGAAATGTTAAGGTAAAATTTTTGTAAACTTTTTGATATGTGATGATGATTTGAATAAATTAAAACCACAAATAAAATAATTACATAACTTAGCCGTAGATATATTAAAACTAATAAACATAAAAAAAAAAAAACAAACAAAAAGCAAATATAATATAAATAATAAAAATTCTTATAAAATAAAGTAGCGCAACGCAAAATTTAGTGCATACAGAAAAGTCAAGAACAGAAAACAAGCCGAACAAATGCCAGCTAAAATATATTAACAAAATAAACTGATGAAAACTTGTTAAACAATAAAATTTCTGGCAAATGTCTGGCCCCGCCCCGCCCCCAGCTCTGCCCTAGTTTCAACAGATCTTTTGATTTGTTTGGAAACTCAGGCGATACGATTATTTCACGACGATTTTCCTTTAAAATTTTTCATAGATTTTTGTATCTTTTGGATTGACGGATGGGGGGCGTGGCTGTATCTAGCAATATTCACGGCAATTCAATTGTCTTAACGACATTGATAAATCTGAGCTGTAAGTGCATATGAAATGCAAATTTAGCGAGCATTTTGTAGGAGCGTGTAGTTAAAAATAAAAAAAAACTAAAAAATAATAATAATGTGAACTAAATCATGTTTATCAAATTGAATAGTATATCTATGTGCATAAGTAGCGAATTATTCAATTGTAAATACATTTTTAATGTACACGTAAACGTTGAGTTTTTGTGTTTTCTGGCCGGTACGAAACGAACATTTGATGTTTATTTAAACAATTGCAATATTCGAATGTTTATCAGTTGGTCAAACAAAAGAGCATAAAAAACTGTTCAAAAACAAAAACAGACACACACACACACACACAAAAAAGAAAACACACGAAAAAGCTTTAAATAATTTAATTACAAATACATCATATAGATGCATGTATTAATGGTAATTATTTTGATATCATTATCATTGATCAATTCCATTGTAGATACAAAATTTGTATTGAAACAAATTAATTAATTAACTAGCCAGCTAAGTCAATGTCGCCTAATGTCAGTTCTAAAAGCATAAATTAATTAAATTAATAACAAACAACAAAATAACAACACACACACACACATATTAACTATAAAAGTGCAACAACAACTACTTTTCAAAAACGACAAAAATCCAAAAAAAAAAAAAAATAACAAAAACAAATATATATAAATGAATAAAAGCAAACAACTGAAACAGGCCTCTGAAACAACACAAAAAAAAACACAACACACATCCACAACAACAAAAACAACAACTAAAAACAACACGAAGCTTTTATAAAACTATTTAAAAAAATATATATATATATATATAAACGAAAAAATAAAAAATATAATAATCCTGCCAAGTAACATTCGAATACCTGCTTGATGAAGATACACCCGCTTTTGCTAAAGAAAAACAAAAGAAAGAAGAAAAAAAACAACCAAAACTAAATGAAAAAATTTAATATTAAAAAAAAAAAAACAAATAAATTAAAAATAAAATGAAAGGCTTAATACGATTTTTATACTTTCGATATAATGATTTTTTATACTAAACGTAAACTCTTTGAAATGAAACCAAAACTGAACGATTTTTTGGGGTATCAGCTAAAATGTCGAGTACACGCCATTTGGGTGTAGCGTATTTTTTAATGAAAACCGATATTGATTTGTTGCAAAAATCGTACTTAAAGTCATATATATATACATATATATATATATATATAAACCCTAACTGCAACTATGGAACGAGAGCACAAATTTTGTTGAACAAAAGGACACACATTAAGAAAAAAAAATAAATAAAATAAAAACAAAATAACAGAAATCAAATACTAGAGAAATCATTTTTTTTTTTTTAATTCCAATCTCACACACAAAACAGAACATGAAATCAAATAAATACATATTTATATATATATACAAATCCTCAACTAAATATATGAACATGTATGTATGTATATCTAGCTAAAGAATCGCACAAATTGGTCACCGACTTTCTCGAATACCCTAACTGCCCCCCCCCCCCCCCCCTCGCCCAGCACAACCATGACACACCAAACTACACTAAATACAGCAGCAAGAATTTCTAATTAAAAACAAAATATAACACATATTTTTCAGCCTATAAATGCGATTTTTGTATGCGCATACAATTTGTAAATATATATTAACTAATTTTATCTAAAAGAAAAAAAACAAAAAAACAAAAGTGAAAAAGAATTTCAAGCATTCATTTGAATAACTTTAGTTTTGCTCCTAATTGCATTTGTATATGCACAATGTGTTTCAGCAAAATAATTAATACATTAAAACATGAACGTTTTTACCCAAATGGAACACACGGTGTATGTCTCTATCTATCTATGTATTAGATATCGAAGTACATAAGCGAGAAGCATACTTTAACGAAAAGAAAAAAAAAATGTCAACTACAATAAATGAACAAGTGGAGAAAAGAATATTTAAAAAACAACAACAACAAAACAAAAAAACTAGTGCAATAACAAATTATTCGGTAATAAATGTAAAATTACAATACATTTAAGTAAACGCTTTGTAAAATACATATAAACAATTTATTAAAAATACAGAATGAAAAACAATAAAAAAAAAATAAAACAAAAAAAGAAAATGGATAATGAAACACTATTGAGTAATAAAAAGCGTTATGCATTGACATTGACACACGTGATTCGATATCTCATCTTATAAGCATAAATCAATAAGATAACAATAAAGAATAAATTAAAGAAACATTCCACATTTTTTTTTTTTTTTGGAATCTATACAAGTTTAATTTCCAAGCACAGTGTAAATATTACAAAAAATATGCGCCCCTTTCAGTTCTCAATACTCTTCCTAACATATGTATATATATATATGATGTATATCTTTTATTGTATAGCTCGTCCGACGCCATCGAAGACTTTGTCCTTGTGATCGGCGGCATTGGCACGTGCCTCGTAGTTGCAAATGGTTACGCCGTGATAATGTGCCTCCGTGAACTCGCCGCGCAGACCTAAAAAGTAAACCAGTTTCATTTATCTATTCAAATGTTGCCGGATGCAAAACCAACCAATATAATAGATGCGCGTGTTGTCATCGCCAAAATTGCTGGGAAAATATAGCGACAAATGATGCACCGAGGAAAAGGTCACAACTCTGCAAGAGATTGGAATTCAGGTATTATATTTAAAATTAGAATTAACGGGCAGTCATTTACTTGGGCGAATATTCGACTTCTGCGCGAAAATCGCGCGACAGCTCGAACTCCTGGTCCGCTTTGCCACGTGCATCGTCGAACGTCATCTTGGGTCGATTCTTAAAACTGTCCGGAAATAAATTTCAAATTAGCACGACTAATTGGAATGCCCCATAACTACTCACAGTTTAACCCTGTTTGGGTGTGAGTTATCATTGGCGCCTCGAATGATAATGCCCTTTAGCTTAATGTTGCCGGTAAATGGAATATTAAACAAAAGTTCTTCATCGGCATCGCTTTGCACAAACTGCAAATGAGCATATAGTTAATTCAGACATATGTATGGATATTGGGGCTGTGCCACGCCCACCTTGCTTGTATCCAGACGCTTTTCGTATGGCTTAAAGACCATCTTGCCGCTGCCATCGGTCTCCTCGTTCAAACATTCTGTATTTTCGAGGTCGATTTTTGTATACAAACTGTATTCGATGCCCATTTCCAGTGCATTGTCGATATCGGTGGCCTCGTGGCTGCAGCCATGTCCATGCCCGTGCGAGTGTCCGTGCGGCATTTTATTTTTTTAAATAAAAATAGCTTTAAATACAATATATACAATGTGACAAGAATTTAATGCAAGTAATTGTTGTATTGAATTGTGCAGAACTATCGATATATCGATAGTCGCCTAACGATACTTCCTTTGCTAGTGATGACAACTAAAGTATCGCTGCCTTTGAAACAACTTTTTTCTGCTACTTAAACGGTTTATTGAATTAATATTAATTTAATCTCGTTTAAACTACAGCTGCTTATCGCTTGTAATGCAATAATTTGAACGGGTTTTGATACATTTAACTAGATAAAATTGCTCTTTTTCTTAGTCTATTTGAAGTAGATTACGGCTGCTGCATGACAGTGCGCACATATTGAAGTACATCCTGGTTGGCCAAAATGCCCAAGTGATCGACACCCTGTAGCGCCAGTGTGGTTATATGAGAGTCTGTATAGCCCGTCCAGTGTTGGCAGGCGCGCAGTGAACGTTGATTAACGGTGCCATCGCCCAGACCCATTATAAGCTTGGGGGTTTCTCCTGCTATCGTGTCCTTTTTGTATTGCAATCTACCAAAAACGAAAAGTTTGCGTAAATTAGTGTTTGATTTGATATATTTATTTGGGAATTACCTTTCCACTGTGCTGACCCCATCGCCATACAGGCAATGTAGCTCCACATCCGGAGGACTAAAGTTTTGTGTATAGCGCATTGTATCCTTGCGCATTTCCCAGCCCGTCCTATAGTCAATATCATTGAAGAACTGCTCCAGCTGTGCCATGGTGTAATTACGCGACGGTGTCGATGCAAGCACCTCAGAGGGCTTCCAAAATAGCGGCGAGGGCAACAGCCAAGCGGAGGACGGATGCGAGATCTGTTCCTCGCGCAGTATTTTAGCGCTCAACGCGAACGAGTCCAAATCATCGCCCATGGCAAACACCTTGACAGCTTTCATGCTGCCCGCCCAAGCGCCAGCCAAACTAATTTGACGGCGCACATATTGACTCTTCCACTCAAGTGTTTGCTCCTGCAGAAAGACTAGTGTCATGGGGCTGCCCATGCTGTGCGTTATAAAAGTGACGGGCGTCTGATTATTGGCCTCGTATGTGTCCTCCACGAGTTGTTTCATATCAATAAAGAATTGCTGATTCTCATCTAGAATGTGGAAAAAGCTCTAGCTAATTAAAAGATTAGTTGCCCAGATGAGAGGCACTTACTCGGCGCCCGTCGGAAATCGTAGGGTGCACCGTGTATATTCTTGTGGCGCTCATAGCCCAGGTCTACCAGTACATTGGCAATATCCTTAAAGTAGGCGCCGGCCTTATTTTTCGTGGGATCTATCCATTCCACGACGCTGGGATCACCCCAGCCGGGTACGCGCGTCTCCACGCCTGGCGTATTGTGTGTGGTGCGTGTCACCTTGTCATAGTAAAGCTTGACATTGTCTATCCAACAGTAGACCATCGGTATGACCAACTGCTCCAGATCTAGCCAGAGATTATACCAGTCGTGCGTCTTCTCGCATATGAAGTAGGGCGTGCCCGATTTATTTAAGCGTGCTTCCATCTGAGAGCCACCATCGCCTGGCACTGAAAAATTGCATTTTTATAATTGCCATTCGGTTGCCCTCTTTATTAATACTTACCAAATATAACCGGAGATAGCTGCGGTTCCTTGGGCGGCGCGGGTTTCGGGGGGTGTCTCCCCCTTTTGCTAAAGGGCCAAAAACAGTTTCCCACACTGAACAAAGCTGTGAGGAGCAGCAGCGCGAACAGTATGCTGGTCCCCTTGAGCTGCATTGTGTTGTGCGTACCCTGCTGCTGATTGCAATAACGGTATGAGAGTTCCTCTCTAACTAGCGAGCCCTCAGTTCAAATCGCGCCACTCGCTGTCAATGCAGATAAAGGCATTTATGGTATTAAATTAACAAAAAAAAGTGCTGTCGCAAACAAATGAATCAGCGCCACAATTATCAATTAATTGACTTACATATATGTGTTGATATATATATGCATATGTTGTACCTGAAGCCAGCTCCAAAACTTAATTGACCTTTAAACTAGCATACGTAACTGTAAATGCATTAATGCGCGGTTGTTTTCCGCATCTTAATGTAGCGCCATTTTGCCTGCTTTCCTGTTGTTGTTATTGCTTTTTTGTGCGTTTTCGTAAACAAAGAAATGTTTGTTATTGTTGTTTTTATTTCGTTATCATTTTGGACACTTTTGTTATTGTTATTGTTATTTTTTGCGTAGCCTTAATTCAGCTGCTTTGCCAGTGCTATGGAGTTTTGCATTGCTTGGAGCATTTTGGCGTTTTTAGGTTTCTGTGCTCATGGTCACATTGTACAGTAGTATACATTCAAATTGATTGTCTTGCGGCAGTAAACAAAATAAAGGTATTTTAAGGTAAATGCCAACAATTTTGTTATTCTATAAATTGTATATTTACGCATATACATTACGTATTTAAATGCATTAACTAATGCAATAATCATCGTTAGCATGCGAATACAATTGCACGCAATACGGACTATCGTGCTTTTGTATCGATACACATGATTTGTAAATGGACGGCATATCGATATTTGTGATAATCGACACGACCGGCAAATGCACTTGTTTAGCGCGTTCAAAGGCAAATTTTGTTTGTTAAAATAAAATAGCTGCAACTTTAGCCGCGAACGGTCATAAACCACAATGCAAGAGTTCTTCAGCGTGCTGCTGCCGGATGTGAAAAAGGAGCTGCGCCGTGCAATAATTGAGTGCTCAAAACGAGGTCTGCTGCACAGCACCAAATGGCTGGCGGAGATGCATCATGGCCTGAGCGATGTGAACATCGACAACGCGGCGCCAGACGACGATCATTCGTTTAGCGAGTGCCAGCTGGAGGGCATTGCGCCCGCCGAATACAGCGATTACTTTCTGGCCAAAAGCTATTACGATGTGCGTGAATATGACAGGGCCGCGCACGCCGTAAGGAATTGCGAATCGAGCGTGCCACGTTTTCTGCATCTCTACTCCACGTACATGGCGCGCGAGAAGCGACGCCTCGACTCCACCACAGATCAGGCGAATCTCAATGAGCCAAATCAAATGCGTGACCTGGCCGATCTGCTGGCCACGCTGCGCGCAGAGCATGGACGCAGTCGCTTAGATGGCTATGGCATCTATCTGTATGGCGTGGTGCTTAAGGCATTAAATCTAAATAAAGCAGCCGAGCAAATGCTTCTGAGTGCGGTGCGTCTGGTGCCCATGCTGTGGAGCGCCTACCTCGAGCTATCGCCGCTTATTATGGAGAAAAAAAAGCTGCTAAGCCTGCAGCTGGGCGGTCATTGGATGCGTCATTTCTTCATGGCACACACCTATTTGGAGCTGTATTTAAATGATGATGGACTTAAGATCTACGAGGATCTACAGGCAGCGGGCTTCAGCAAGAGCATCTATCTAACCGCCCAAATGGCGCTGGTCTATCATAACAAGCGAGGTGAGTTGATGAAGCTTCGCCTAGCTCCAAGTTACAAACTCCTTTTGTTTCTCTGCCAGATGTGGATAAGGCCATCGAGTTGTTTCAGGCCTTGCTCGAGAGCGATCCCTATCGCCTGGACAATGTGGATACATACTCCAATTTGCTGTTCGTCAAGGAGATGAAAACAGAAATGGCCCAACTGGCGCACAAAGCTGTTAGCATTAACAAATATCGACCCGAGACCTGCTGTGTTATTGGCAAGTTCCAAGCGTTAACCATGCTAATCTTTCGTACTAAACTTCTCTCTGCTTCCAAACAGGCAACTACTATAGCATACGCTGTGATCATCAGGTGGCCATTTCATATTTTCAGCGCGCTTTAAAACTTAATCCCAAGTATTTGGCCGCCTGGACTCTGATGGGCCATGAATTTATGGAGCTGAAAAACACAAATGCTGCGATTCAAAGCTACCGCAAAGCGGTGGAGGTCAATAAACGTGACTATCGTGCCTGGTATGGCCTGGGCCAGGCCTATGAGATTATTAAAATGCATTATTATAGTTTATATTATTTTAAAATTGCCCATCAATTGCGTCCGTATGATTCGCGCATGTTGGTCGCTCTGGGCGAGACCTACGAGAAGCTGGACAAATGCGAGAATTCGGTCAAGTGCTATTGGAAGGCCTGCGATGTGGGTGACATTGAGGGCATAGCCATGTACAAGTTGGCGAGCCTGCACGAGAAGCTGGGCGATAATGAGACGGCCGTCCATTGTTATATTATGTACTGCGAGGACGAACGCGCGGCCACCGATAAACAAAGCCTCTACCAGGGCTTTATGACGCTGGCCAACTACTATGAGAAGAAGTGCGACTATGAACGTGCCGCTTACTATGCTTACAAGTGCCTGGACTCGGATGATGTAAGTTAAATAAGTTAGCTCCATTTCATATCCCTAATTCCCATCTCCGTTGCAGCGCAAGACGGAGGCGAAGGCGCTGCTTAAGACCATTGATTCACGACGCAGTGCTGAGTGCCAAAAGAAAAAGTCCACAACGGTGGTGGCCACGGCAGAGACCAGTTCCGAGGATGAAATGGAATGGGAGCAGCTGGATGTGCGCGTGCGCGTACCATTCACCTCAATAGCTGACAAATCAACATCAACATCAACGGCTGCCGCCAACGCCGCAGGCCCCTCAACATCAGCCAGCAGCACACGACGACTGCGTTCGGTGCCAGAGCGTGTGCGTCGCACCCAGCCTAGTCAACGTAGTCTGATTGGACCTACCGCAAACAGCACGGCAACAGCAACTACGACAACGACGACAATAACAATCCCAACGATTAGCGAGGAGACGCCGGGTAGCAGCACAGCGGCAACGGAAACGCTGGATGATATAACGCCGGGCACAGCTACATCCGAACAGCAGGGAACAACACACGATGGCAGCTCCATGGAAATATCGAGCGTGTCCATCGATTAAATGTACACCTGACACATTTATGTTAGTTGTGAATTATATTGAAAATTATTTTATTAATGCGTTGAGCAATGATGATGTGCTTTAAATCAAGGCTATGAACAAAAACGGTTCGAACCGGGAATTCCCATTTTTATTGTACTTTTAGAGAAATCTTGAACCGAACCATTTACCCAACAGCCGCAGCATTAATTGCGGAAATTGTTTTCTAAAGAAAAAAAAATGTTGCAGCATTTACATTAATTTTTATTAAGTTAATTGTGATTCGGTTGAGAGAGCCAGTCCCAAAGCGTTAAGATCGCGCTAAAATCTATGAAAATAATTACTTATATATACATACTATATATCATAAATCATATTTGTAATATTTCTAACAGAACGGGCAATTTTGAGCCTAAAATCTGTTTTGTATAGTCAGCTCGAAGTTATTCTATAACAAATTATCGACTTAATTATTTTCTTTAATATTTGAAAGAATGTGACAAACTAAGATCTGATTGTAAGAATGGGAAAATCCGGATTCACGAAACGAACCGAGTTCGAAAACAAAACTTATTTGCATTTAATTAACGAATAAGTTTTATGATCAAAGAAAAACAGCTACTGGAGCCAATTGCTGAGAGCTCACAGTCAAAATTAAAGCCTGCATCGATCTATGCCATTGTTAAGCAATAATTAGGCTATAACATCGAGATTTAAATACTTAAATAGAATTGAATACAAGCTAAACCCAGACTCTCTTAACCAACAGCACACATGCCGTGCCGCTCTCACAGAGCACGTCGAATGCACACATGCAGGGACAGATTGAAGGCGATCAGCAGCACCAGCAGGAACAGGCCCAGGACGAGTATATCCTCGTTAACGCTATCGCCGGACATGTCGAAATATTTGAGAAACTGTTCCGATGACTTGTGAAAACAGAAATCCTGATGACACGGCAAATCGCCGCGTCCATAGCCATAAACGGCGCGCATGAGACCCTCGAAGATGTATCGGAAAAAGGATACGTCACAAATGGGCCGCAGAAACCAGGACAATTCACGCATCCGTATAAAAAATCCAGAGAACAGCAGAAACGGTATGGATATGCTGGGCACTATAAATATGGCCAACTGCATGGGCAACAAAGTGCCAGCAATTACGCCAATAAAGTGTCCAATAAAGGCGGTCAGCACGCATATGCTCCAGCACATGGCGAAACGGCCCAGCTCCGGCGGCTGGCCGGTCATAAAGAAGCCGATGCTAATGAATAAAGTCGGACAGATTAGTTGCAGTGGCAAATCGGCGAGCACTTTGGATATGTAGTAGGCCTTCAGCGAATACCAGCCGTTGTAGTATTCCCTGATGAACACGGGCGAGTCCTGCAGGCAGAGCAGAATGGAGGGCATGGCGTTGCCCGAGAACACAAACAGTATAATGAAAAACATGCAGGATACATTACTGATAACCTTGGCGGCATCATTGCCGATCTGCCAATAGACCACGCCCAGCAGCAGGGCAACCACAATGTGCATGGCCACACGCAACTGCACGGCAATCTGGAGAGGATTAGGCAGTTAATAGATGCATAACAATGGATTAGCAGCTACTCACCGTATCCCTGGACATGGCACGCAAATGTCGGAGCATCAGGACACTCAGCTGATACCAGAAACCCACCTGCTCCTTGGGACGCAGTGCATCAGACGCCGTCGAACTTTTGGATAGCTCAATAAAAGCTGCTGCAAGTAAATTGAGGTAGACAGAAAAAAAAGAGGAACAGATAGAGCAGTGGGAAGTAGGACAGTGACAAGCGCAAGTTGGAACAGGAAACAGAAGCAGTAAAGAAAGCGGAAGCAATTGTGGATGATCAGTCAACGTCATCCAATTGAAGCGCAAGCAAATGCGAACTCACTCTGCTCGTCGGCCGGAGCACTGCTAAAGCTCTGCAGAATATCGTACTTGGACTTGTTCTGTGTGATCAGCGTCTCGCAGCGCTGATTGGACGACTCGCTGCCCACCTCAAGCACTAAATTGTGGATGAAAGAGCAGAGAGAGAGAGAGAGAGAGTTCAGATTGGTATAAATTGGAAATAAACCAATAGTACACACCAAAATCACCGGGATTATAGTACTGTGGGCATCGGAAACCGGCCGCCTGGAAGCTATCCAACATATCGCACTGTGCGCCCGCGTAGAGCATTTCGCCGTGGGCCAGCACCAGGACATCGTCGAACAGCTGCATCAGCCGCGAACTGGGCTGATGCACCACACACACCACAATCCGTCCGTTGTGCGCCAGTTTCTGCAAATAGCACATGACCTGGTAGCTGGCCACGCTGTCCAGCCCGCTGGTCGGCTCATCGAAGAACATGATGGGCGGATTCGTGATCAGCTCAATGCCAATGGACAGACGCTTGTGCTCTCCGCCAGAAATGTCCCGTACCAGCGTGTGACGGCACGAATGCAAGTTGAGCACCTCAATAATGTCATCCAGCTGGGAATATGATTGAAGGTTTGAATGAAATTTAATAACATAAATGGTAGAAATTCCTATATGCAGTTATCGGGGTATATGTAGGGGAGGAGTTGAGACCCAAAATTTGTATACTCTTGGTTCTGGATAAAAATGCTGGAGCTTGGTATATATGTAGGTAATTGCTTAACAACGTTTATCGATAATTGCCTACTCTCTATATCGATAAATTTATATTCTTTATATCGATAAATATGTATTCTCTGAAAATATCGATTTTTCCTGTCGACAAGATAATTACACCAAGCTCTATAAACCTAGATATTATCTACGATCCACACATCGATAAATATCGATTTTAATACTTTTTTAACTTATAAAATATATCGATTGACATTTTTCACAATCGATAATTATCGATTTTTAATCTCAGTCAAACTTTAAGCGAAAATGGCAAAAGCTACAGAAATAGAAGATTTCTGTATACAACACATAATCTAGATTATATTTCACTCTCACACTTATATAGATTTTAGAGGAGATAGACACAAAAGTTACTTAAGAATGCATTTTTTTCAATGCTCCAAGCTCCAAGCTGGTTACAGGGTATATTCTGGTTGAGCACTCAACAGTACGCTTACTTATCTTACTTACAATTTGTTGTTTTTGCAGCGTACTTGTGCCTGTGGGCAGCTTCAAATCGGCGGAAACACGCAGCGTTTCCTGGACCGTGAGCAGCGATAGCATCACAAAGTTCTGGGCTATATACGACGACATTTTGCGAAATGCGAGCAGATCGCGCGGCTGTCCATTGATGAGAAACTGACCCGTAACGCCGCTGACTCTATTTGGGCAAACTGATCAGCAAATTGAGGCAAAAAGAGTTTCTCGTGATGCACTCACTTGAAGCCGGCCAGAACGTTTAGGAGCGTGGACTTGCCGGCACCGGATGGACCCAGTATGGCCGTTAGGCGACCCGCTTGAAAGGCGCCGCAGGTCTCGTTCAGTATTTGGCTCTTGGATTGCTTTGGACCCTTGAGCTTGTAGCACACCTGCCGGAACAGTAGCTCCAAAGGCGGGGTTTTGCCCAGGCCATTTGGCACGCTTGCCGCAATATTGTCGACCATTGTTGCCTATTTGATATTGACCAGATCTTGCCCTGGCTGCGGGCAATGCTCGAATGTCGACTGCGTTGGCTCTGGCCTCAATTTGCGATATGCCAACTGAGCTTATCGGCTGGTACTCTCTGTTGATTGTGGAGTTCAAGTGCTTGCAGTTATTATCAACATCGTAACTGACTCAACCGTCTAATCCGTGTTAGTCTAAGGCACAAAATTGCAATCTTATCTTTGCCAGCTGTAAAGCTGCTGCCTTTGTCCCAGTCAAAGCAATCAAAATGCTTACATCTCTACATATAGTTAAATTTTTTTCCTGGCTGATTGTTTGACTAATTGATTGATCATGAACAGCTCAAACCGTTAAGCTGAGAAGCTTAGGTTATATACATGAATACGATAAAGAGATTGTGTACCTGATATTCCTGACGGATTGATTGATTGATTGACTTATGATCAACGCACAGCACAGACTCGGAAAAGTTCACAGTAAGTTCTCTTTGTATAACCTTAGAAAGATCTCTAAATAGAAAACTGTTTTTCCAGACTGATTGATTGATTGACTTATGATCGACGCACATATTGAGAAAGATTTTTCATACGTATCTCTCTACAGATAAAATTGATTTTCGGATTGATTGATTGACTGTATGGCTTAAAATCAACACACAGATGGTTATTTGAATGAAAACCAAAAGATATAAAGCATATAAAGATGTTTTTCCTGATTGATTGACTGACTGAAGATTAGCGCATAGCTCAAACCCTTAAAGCTGGACATCTAAATTTTTCACAGTAAGTTATCTTAGCGTATAATTAGAAAGTCTTTTTATGCGTATCTCATTATATATAAAACTGTTTTTTTTTTTCAGTCTGATTGATTGATAGAAAACCCAACTGATGATTAACGTACAGCTTTAACGCCAGCATAAACCCTGACAACTGAACAGCTGAATGTTTTCACAGTAAGTTATCTAAGAAATATTTTTTACATATTTATCAATTTATATAAAAGTGTTTATTGATTGATTGATTGATTAATCGTATGAGCTCGTTAGCTGAATTTGTTTCCCATAGCTAACTCTTGTTATCTTAGAGAAGAGTTTGATAATAATTTGTAATTCTTCTCCCCGCTAAGTTAGAAAGTTGGCAAGAAGCAATTTTAAACAAATTTTTATTTTCTTTCATTCATGAAAACACATTGAAGACGCATTTAATAGGTTGATTTTTTTAATGCACTCGCTTAATTTACTGTGGTGTGTCTGTGGTCAGTCGGCGACGGTTTGATTAGTCGTTTTTTGTGTTTGAAATGCAATTGCGATAAGCTTGGCAAAAATGACTGCAAATTATTAGTTGTTGCACTTAACAACCTTAAGGAATGCCGCGTAATAGCAATAGACTGCGTAATACCCTATAATTATATAATCTTCTATTGCCGCAAAGCAATTAAAACAAAATTTCTAAAGTTACAGTCCGGAAATCGACATGGCAAATGCTCCTGCTAGACTTCTTACTAGGGTTTTGCACATTCTCGTAGCCTTTTATAAAATGTCATTTTTTCAAATAGTTTTTTATTTCTTACCAAATTCTATAATTTGGGATGAAATAAATTGTTAAACGATTTTCATCTTTGAATGTTTAAATGTTTCCCGAAAAACGAAAGGTAATCAAAATCATATTTACAACATTTTATTTTTTTAATTAAAAAAGAAACGATAAATATTTTCAAAATAAAAAACTTTTTTTTGGAATATTTTTCACAATCACAATTTTATATTAAAAAATTAAAATGTGTAAAATTTGGTGAATACAATTTTTTTTTATTAATTTTATGTTTATTTGCTTTTTTGTTTTTAGTGAAAACAAAAACTTTCAAATTCAGAATCAAATATTTTTTAAAAGACATCAAAAAAAGAACAATAAAATGCAGAATCTAATAATTTAAACAAGAATAGCAACAAATAGGAGAAATAAAATTCGAATTTAAAGCTGGTTTAATTTTCGGACTACTTTTTTTAATTAATCTTCAGTCATTTTTCCCTACTGTTAAAATTAGTGCAAAAACATTTGTCGAACTTTGTCGAATTTCTGGGATGGTCGCAGATATCGTCCAGATTTTTGGTAACATATCTGAATGCGCCTAAACGTATGCAATACCCTAACAAATTATTGTCCATGGGCTAATGCAATGTTTTTTATTTTTCTTGAAACAAGAGTATTCATTAGCGTGCCTCAATCAATTGGGAATGACAAGAAGACTAGAATAATAAAACAAATTAAATGCTAAACTGCGTATTATGCTCGGGCCTACGCTTCCTGTCATATTAAATGTCTCGCATATATGCAAAATTTGCAAAAATGCAGCTGATTTGAAACGCTTTCCCTTGCAGCTGCTTATCAGTTTAATTGAGTATATAATACAATTTCCACATATATATATATATATTTTAATTAAGTGCAGCTGTAAAATAAGTGCAAATGTTTTCCATCGCGTTTCGTTTGAAAATAGAAAACTGGTTTGCCTTTTCCGCCGGCCAATTCCAATCAAAGCTTTTGTTTTGCGTTTTACACAAAAATAGTTACTTTATAGAAAATATTTTCCTCTGTTTGGACTTGATAAATATACTTTATATATATACTTCATATATATATATATTTGATTTATACACTTGATACTTGTTTTTTTGTAGCACTTTTTGTACTATTTTTATTTGTTTTCGGGCCTCGCCCAATTAAATTTTCAAGTCGCGTCCCCCACTCGATATGGCGTGTGGTAGCCGATAAACATTAAAGCGTTGACTGCACTCCGGTTAAATACAAAACACAACTGAATTCAATTGGTGTTTATTTTCATTTTTGTGCCGGCAACTGTTGATATTCATCAAATTTAACGCGAGCCTCAACATGTTTGAGTCGCGCTTACATCGATCCGGTTGGATCTAGGCTGGTATGCTGTGAGCGAACCAGCTTATCGAAACAAAACGACAGAATTTCTGGCTTATATAAATATAATAGAATATAAATTTGATATATTTAAACTAGCCTGGCATTTATTTATATTCTTATACTAATACCTTAGGGCTTGATTCTTTGTTCTCTTACGGAGCCAAAAACTTGTTGGTCCAGCTTCAAGAAATCTTACAATAATATTTTCGTAATTTTCCATTAAAACCCGATATCGGAGGGTGTGGAAAATATAGGCACAGGCTATTTATCAGCTGTTATATTAGTTTATGTAGCGAACTCTCAAGTAATTTTCCATTAGCACCCGATATCGGAGGGTGTGCAAAATATTAACAGAAATGTTTCATTAAACAGTTTTCCATGCTTTTTCCACAATTGCAGCTATAATTTTCGATAGTTACATTTGCAACTCCCCCCCAAGAAGGCCAGCTGCCTTCTCCTAGCAATTGTGTAGTTAGAAAACAAGTTTAGGGAACTGGGAACAGCTCCTCCATGGAGGAACCGGTTGTGGGAGCTCTCTCGTTTTATTTTTCCGCTTGCCGCACAGTGGTTAAATGTTGACAAAAAGAGAATCTTACAAAAATATGAATACAAAATATTTAATATTTATTCAAAACAGGTTCAGACAAATTATTTTGAGCTTAATAAAATATGTACATGCGCTTAAAACTAAGCAATAGTCGATGATGGTGTGTCATTAATACGATTGTACAGAGAATACAGGGCTATGCTAAGGGTATTGTATATATATATATATATAAAGCGTATAAATATATATATATACGGCTGCTAGGGAATTGTGAATTGGTGTTGGGTATAGATAAAATAAGTATGTATGTATATCACGATTTCTCCTTATGCTAAACGCTGTTCAATTCTTTGGCACATGGTTCTCTCAATTAAATGCTAAAAGAAATCATAAATATACCCGCACTTGTACACCTCTATAAATATATATATATATATATATATATATATATGTGTCATCTATATATAAAACAAACTGTATCGACTGTGTGCGGAATGTGGCATCGGGTGGGGCCCGTCCCGGCACAGTATCGTATCATCTGAATAATCTCAGTCGGAAGGACATGATGTAAAAGGCCAAAATGCGCATCATAATCAGCAGGCCCAACATAAAGAAAATGGCCAACTGATAGTTGGCATTCACCATATCCAGATCCTTGAGTATGTGCTTGGGTCGCGACAAATGACAGTACATCTCGTTGCACTCGAGACGCGCCCGATCGTAACCAAACAGGGCCAGCATAGCCCCATCCAGACTATACTTTAGAAAGGAGACATCGAAGAACCAGCGCAAATAGACGGGCGCATCCTTCTCCTGCAGAAAGAAGCCGCTAAACGCCAGAAACGGACATATGAAAAACGGTCCCAGTATCGCGCCCATATTCATGCTCAATGCCGCCCCGACCGCCAGTCCGATGCTTTGGGCCACCAGCGCCGTCATGAACACAATCAGAAAGAACATGCCAAAGCGCCAGGGCTCCAGCGGCTGCCGCGTCATCAGATATGTGGGCACTATGAACAGCGAGCTGCAGATTATCTGTATGGGCAGATCCGCCAGCGTAATGGCCACATAATAGGCGCGCAGCGAGTACCAGCGATTGAAGTGCTCACGCGATACGATCGGCAGCTCCACGGGAACTGCAAGAACAGAAATGGAAGTCGGAATAAGTTTCAAATAAATCTTCGATCGAGAAAATCGGAACTCGGAAATTAAAGAACTTTTTGAGCCATTTTGCAACTAATCTTAAATATGCAAACTTATGCGGAGCATTCTTATTTTCTCATAAAATGTGTTATTCACAGTCAAACACATTTCCGATCCCATAAAGTATACATATTCTCGATCAGTATCAATATCTAAGTCTCAGTCTTAATCTACCGCCATGGAAAGTTTCTTTGTCTTTCTGTGGCAGAAGGTATATTTATCGAAATTAGAAAATAGGTAGAATCGGTTCTTGCATGGAAAACTTTTTTGGTTTTTCAAGATATCTAACCAAAGCTCTGCTTCAAACTAATAAATCATATAGCTTTATATGCAAAACTTTTCTGATTTTTCAAAAAAACTTCCACTTCCTTACAAGTCTTCTTAGATATTTTGAATATGGGGAGATCCAAATCCTGAATAGTTGCAGCTTTTAGAGTGAACTTTGAATCTGTTAGTTGAATTCGATCTGGGGGTTGTGTTTGGTTCTATCAAGAAACCTAATTCAAGCGCCGAACCCGAACGACAGTTAACTAGTTGGTCTTAACGATTAAAGCCACATTAAAGCCAGACTTACATTTGACCAGAATGCCAGAGAAGGCACAGTACATGATGAACATGATGGTATAGAAGACATAGCGGAAATTGTTCATCGAGTTGGCGGCATCGTTGCCAATGCCATAGTACAGGAAGCCAATTAGCAGTCCGATGGCCAGGTGAATGCCAAAGCGCATCGTGGTCAGCGAGCTGTCACGCCAGATTAGCAGAAAGGTGCGCAGCAGCAATATGCTCAGCTGTCGATAAAAGGGCGTGGCATAGATATTCTCGCGCTTGCACAGATGCGCCGGATCCAGTTCCAATGTTGGCATCGACATGGTCGGCTTGTTCTTCTTCTTTTTCTTTGGCTTACAACAATTGGCATCGGACTTGGCATCGTCGCAGCCCATCTGGCTATCCCAGATGCGTGAGGAGAGCTCATTGATGGGCGTCAACGGCTTGAAGTTGAACGATTGGCGACAATGCCCGACTCCGCCGGACATGATGGGCGCCGTCACAGGCGTGAGCAGGCCGGAGTTCATCATTTGCTCTGCAAGTTGGCTCTTTGAGAAGGGAATTTCGAAGTTGGGCTTGAATTGTGAGCTTACCAACTTTACGCATGGCCGCCAGCTGTGCCACGCGCGCCGTCTTGCTTTGCCTGTAATCATCGTTGCGTCCATTGTCCATGAGTGCAATCAGCTTGTCCACCTGCCGTTCGTCCTCCGTGTCATAGTCATGCGTAGCTATTTCCATTACTGTAAGAAAAAAAAACACAGCATATATAATATTGAATTAGACCTATATCCATAAAAACTCGGGCTTAATTGCCAAAATAGCCGAATCTAAAGCTGAATCGAACCACGTTTCAATAAATGGGCTAAAGAGATTATACTGTATATATGAGGTAGTAGGTGACCCTTCAAAGTATATATATATATATATTCCTGATCTAGCCCTCGAGCTGGGTCATTTTAGGCCAGCTTAGGGTATCTACTAGTCGAGCACTTCGGGCTATTACTTCTAATTTATCGCTATTCACACAACTCACAATAATCCGCCGGATTGTAGGACTCGGGACAGTGCAGATTGAGTGCGCCCAGAAAGGGCACCAGATTCTGGGAACCGCCGGCATAAATGCACTGTCCCTCGGCTATGGCATAGAGATGATCGAACATGGAGAAGGTCAGCGCGCTGGGCTGATGTATGGTGCAGATGACATTGCGACCCTCGACGGCCAATTTCTTGAGCAGCGTTATGAGCTGGTTGCACGTGGAGCTGTCCAATCCGCTGTAAGAAAAGTGACACTTTAGTTGAGTTCAAGGTGATTCACTGCAAATGGCTGCATACGACGTGGGTTCGTCCAGCACCAGCACGGGCGGATTGTTGACCAGCTCCAGGGCAATGGCCAGACGCTTGCGTTGCCCGCCGCTCAGATTGCCCGTGTGCGTATTCCGATTCTCGTACATGCCAATGGCGACCAGAATGCTGAGGACACGTTCACGTTTCGCGGCCGGCGACATGTGTGTGCCAATCTTTAGATTGGCAGCAAAATGCATGGCCTCCTTGACGCTCAGGTAGGGCTGCAGCGACGTGTCCTGCGTAATGAACGCCACATTCGGCTTGAAGGCCTTCAGATCGCGTCGCTTGCCATTTATGCGAAAATCGCCTGTGTAGCCATTAAACCTATAGAAATATATTCATTGATGAGTCAACGATAGGAAATTTGTTAAAGTGCCGGGTTACATTACGTATAGCCTGAGAGTATGTTCAGCAGCGTGCTCTTGCCCGCACCAGAGGGTCCGGCAATGGCATTTAGCTCGCCGGAACGAAAGTAGCCCGAGAGTCCTTTCAGTATGTCTTTGTTTTCTGGAAAAAAAAAATCAAATGGGAATTAAGTCAATTAAACAAGGGAAAAAACGAAAATCTTGTCAATATTATTTGGCAGCCTATTTGCACCTCAAGCAAAGCCCAAGAATCTTGGAATGTGGGAAACACAGAATTTCTATTGAAAAGAAAAAATGTATGGAGCAGGCAGAAGAAAGTATTTCCGAATCCATTAAGTATATATATTCTCGATCAGCATCAATATTCATATCGATCTAGTTAAGATCTGTCTGACTCTATGAATGAACGGAAGGATCGCAGCATCTATAAGAGCTAGAGAATTTTGAACGTAGTTCCTCTCAGTGTCTGCGCTTTACGAGTTTTGTCCGATAAACGATAACTTCGCCAAGCAATCGATTAAAATCGATATCAAAATTAGGCGTTTTAGGTCATAAGAGCTCGAGTATTCACATTTGACATGTATCTTCTAGAATAATATATATACATCAAGTATCTTTCATTTCCCTATGGAAATCGATATTTATCGATCTTGGGAACATTTAAATTTATATGGGAATTGGGTACATATTGCATATCTAAACTCTCTAATCTCTGAGTCGAGGCATCTCCTTGGATGTAGCTCAGTCTCTTGCCCTGATCAATATATATATTCCTATATATATATTCCTTCTGCCTGTTTCAGCGACTTAAGCAAAGCTTTTTTGGCCATATTTAAATGGGAACACGTCATGAAAAGTTGTTCAAATATTCAAGATATGTCCATTCCCAGACGTATCATAAGTCAATTATAGGCGATTCGATGAAAACGAATAGTTTTTATATATAATAAGTTGTTGAAGTGGTTCGGGTTATGGGAATTCTTGTTGCTACTGTGCCTCGGAACAGTTTGCAGCTGATAAAGGGGGCCTATTAGCCGCGTTTCATGTAAGCTAATCGCCTTTGGCAATGATAATGCCATAAAATAAAAAACACATTTGTCCAATTTGTCGTTTGCTGCTTGTCGAAGGTATTTTTTTATTTTATTTTTTTTGTGCCAAGTGCCTTAGGTTTTTTATGGCACTGGCCGATATACCTTGGCTTTGGAGAGCAGGCCTGATGATAATCTATCGATTAACTCAGGTATTTGGCCATTTTGCTAATCGGGCAGAGTCTTGCCGCAGCCGAAGCTCTTATCATGTTGGTTTTGGTTTTTGCGGATCGCCACGAATCTTATCGTTATACTCGGTTTCGGTTTACGACTCCCGTATGCCATATGCCAGCACCATTTGGACTATTTGTTTTCTGCCAGATGTTGTGAAGGTGTTGGCCAACCACCTGTTTATTGCACTGATAAAGTCTGCTTGGCGCAGCAGGAAGCCAACAGAGCCCCTGACATGGCCTTGTGCTTGACATTGTATTCGCAATGGACATATCATAATAAAAAATAAAAAAAAAGCAGCTTACACCGATCGATGATAATAGCACAAGGTTTTCAATGCTATCATTAGTCTACACGTTCTCGCATTATAATTGCATTGTCTTAATCTAATGCTGGAATCAGCAATGCGGATTAGTGAAAACGCATTCAAAATAATCCCTGAATGCCGCTTATCTATTTATTGTTTGCTTTTATTACTTGCAAACTATGACTTTTCAGTTGTATTAGAGATAGACGAAAAGTTCCTTAGCCATAAAAGTATTTTGGGCTAGTTTTAAAAGAGGGCTAGAAAGATGCAAAAGTAGTCAATCGATTTATCATAAAAATGATCTAGGCTTGATTTTAAGCACACATATTTATCGATTAAATACATTAACTATCTAGGTTTAGATTTTGGTTAGATAATATTAGCTATATTATTATAATATTAGACGATATTAGAAATATTGTTGCGCTAATTAGTCTCTCAGATGTTTAGTTGGGCTACTCTAATGTATTATTAGTAATCGATTATTAATACATTTTAATAAAATAAAATTAAAATGTACAAAATATAAATTTGTTAAAAATATATATTTAATTTGTATAATATATAAAAGTTTCCATTCCGATCTGAATTTAAGGAGGCTAATAAGAACTAAGTACATCAAACTTTGGGCTTATGATCGATGTAAGGAACTAAATTCAAGCTGTAATATATACTAAACTTGTTTTTAAATCTCGAAAAACGCACTGGGTAGAAATCGTATTATAATATTAATCTGCGTTCGCGTCTGTTTTTATTTGAATCAGGAAGTTTTTATTTTTGACCTTTCAAGTGACTTCATTTGAAAATATGTTGATATAATTTCTTTGATCTTACGGCACGCAACGTATATCGGATGTGTTCAGTAATTAAATCTAATACGTAACACGCGCTAGAATTTTTTTTTTTTATAATAATACCGGGGAAATGTGAAACTGGAGCTGAAAATAATACGAATGTTCCGCTATGAGGAAGCCCAAAGAAAATAAACACAGGAAAACTCACTCAAGCTGATGCGACAACAATAACAATGTGAAATCAAATGAATGAAAGAACATGCATACTACTTAATGGAGCTTAAGTGATATTAATTAAAACGTTGGCGACCTTTATATTGTCTCAGATTTGTTGCCAGGTCAACAATTATGATACGGTTAGCTACGATTAGGCAATATATGGCCAATATTTATTTATTTATTTGTTTAAATATTTATTTCGTTTTTCCATTCCGAGTTCCATTATGGTGTAAGCGAACTATCACGTTCAATATTTATGCCCTCAACCCAAAAGGGTATCATGTTTTTGTGAAAAAGTATGTAATAAGCAGAAAGGAAGCAACTTCTACCCCTCTTTCTGTCACTCCCTTCGTTTGAATGGGATCTCTGCAAGAATCTCTGAACCCAGAAGATCTAGAGATGTGATGTATTATTGGTAGCAGAGGGTACAGGGTATTTGCTAGTCGAGAACTGTCGACTAGAGCCTCTTGTTGTTAATTGTTATCTATTTATTAGTTAGGCATTTGCTTTTCCATTGTGATTTACTTGTAATTGTAGTTTTTAGACATTTCATACATTCTGATAAGCAAATAGATAAGTTTCCTTTTTTTATGAACTCTGGGCCTCGAACTGCCCACCTCCAAAGAAAAAAAAAAGAAATTATGAACATGTTCATATTGTGTTTGGGCACACTCGTAATGAATTGATGCATTAGTCATCCATTGGCAATTATGCAGTTATGAGTTTCGGTATCTCTGGCACGTGTCGTACAACCTATTAGGACACTAAACCCCAGGTGACTCACCTTGATTCATACCACAATAAACTTCTATTAACTACGAATTTCCAAATATATATCAAACATGTTTGCCCCGAATGTGCGGTAATTAGGATAGGAATATATGTATTTATATAGATATACATATCAGCCTAAACATTTATATCATAGAGTGGGGCGTAAGTTAGACTCTGCTCGAAGGTCCCTTGATAAAACTAGCTAGAAACAATTATTACAAACTGTTTCTCTATATGGTATATAGATTCATATGTATATATATATATATAACTTACAAATCTTATCGGTTCGTCACTTTTGTAATATAGGTAAATACACACACACACACACACACACACGCCCAACTGTTATGCAAATATTCAAATCGTTTGCGTGAAACCCATAAAAAATTATTTAAAAAAAAAAAACGACAAAGGCAAATGACGACCCGAACGATCCCCATCAACTGATCATGTAACCCAATTCTCTTGTTCTTTCGCAATTTGTGGTAAGTACTATATAAAGTTATTTATATATATATGTAGATGCTTTAACATTTTCACTTTAAATTTATTTAATTGATCATAAGTAAGAATAAGGCAGCGACCTTTCGTATTGACCCTTGCACACGGAGCACAACTTTGATTTGCTCAATTGGAAACGTGTCCCAACTTTTTGGCATATTATTTTTATTTTATGTTCTCTAATTTATTTTCTATAGAACTAAATCGTTTAGCTGACATTACTCATCATTATCAGCTTTTAAGGCTTGTTTTTTCTTTGTTTTTCTATGTATTCATTTGATTCCCAGCGACTACGTAGATAAGTCCCGCACATAATATATGTGTAGATATTTTCTTTGTGAATCTAAATTAACTAGCTAGTACGAAGTACAAATATTAACAGCTGTGCCTATGCGTATACCTTCCAGATGATAATCAATTGAGTTGTATTGGAATAATCAGCCTAAATATTTATATCTTTAGGCATTCATAGAGTGAGGATTAAGTTTGACTCTTCTCTTCATCCGCTCTATTAAATTTTTGGCTCGCTAATTGCGCAAATTAGGTAAATTAAAATGATATATTTTCTGGGTTCGGGCTCGCAAAGTACTTTTATTATATATTAGATATGCATTATTTGTAATTGGACATCAGCTGGGCATTAGGATTTTGATAGATTCAAATTACATTAGCATTAAGAAAAGGTTTAGAATTTATAGAAAATAGTTTCATAAATCAAAAATTTATAAAATCAAATTTAATGGAAGAATGTGTGTATATTTGTTACAGGGTATTTCATAAAATAAAACTGTATGACACAGGGTATTTCAGGCTTTAAACCGATTTTCACACTCTTATAACGTATTTCATAGGGTGTTTCCCAATAAAAGTTTAACAAAATTAAGCACAGAGTGCTGCATAGCCCATAATTTCTTAATACACCAACATATCACAGGGTGTTACAAAGCACAAATCATACCATTCATTCGTTCTATTGATTACATAACGCACAGGGTGCTTTAGTTCCATAAATTGTTTACAGGGTATTTCAAAGCGCTCAATAGCTCTCAATGCACCAATGTGCCACAGGGTGTCACGTAACAATAATCATTCCATCCATGCAATAGTGTATAGGGTGCTTTGAAAGTTCTCAATAGTCAAATCTGAATCAGTTTCGTAATGCGTTAATGTTTTTCCAACGAAGCTCAACTAATTCATTGGACAATGAATATGCATATTTATAAACAAATCAATGCATGTATTTTTGGCCAATTCTATGTAAAGTTTTGCCACTAATTTGAGCATATTTAGGTAGCTAAAATAAACGTATTTCTAGCCTATGTGTATTGTTATTAAAACACGCACCAAAGCGTGACATTTTGGACTGGCACAGGGGCACTCAACAAAGCAGCAATGAGTAATTATTAAAGATCAGCCAATGATGATAAGTTCAATAGAGTGACGATTGCCTAGGAAAATACAAAATAGACATTTAATGAACGAACACAATGGAATACATCGAACACAAAACCGATTTGTTTATTTGATTGAGTAATAATGGAGAATGGTTGTAGATATAATACAAAAAAAAGTGGGTCTTAAAACAGGGTGTTTCATGGTTAAATACGACTCGATACAAATAAAACAGGCCACAGTGTGTTTAGACTTGGATGATAATTTTCATAGTTAAATTTATCTAAGTTCACACTGTGAGGCCAACATGGTGCTTCATCTCAGAAATACATTGAAATGAGCACAGGGTGCTTCATAGATAGACCCCCAAAAGTACTCTAAATAACCACGGGATATTTCATATTGATTATTATTCTCATTATACATTGAATTGAGCAAAGGAAGATTCATAGAGACTTTCCACACGGTACCATCGAATAGTGAATAATCATTCAATGAGCCACAGCGTGTATCATCTTAGTTAACTACTTATCATTAGTCATTAAAGTTCCCAAATGTATTTTAAATTGACTACAGGATGCTTCACGCTTTTCATTGCTCATTGAAAGAACAGCGTGATTCATATAGAAAGACTCAATTTAAAATTAATCCCCAATGTTTCATCTCAAACAACTTCTCATTAGTCTTTAAATGTCAGTTAACAACTTCTCATTAGTCATTAAATGTCAGTTAACAACTTCTCATTAGTCATTAAATTAAGCGCAGGGTGTTTCAATGTGCCACTGGCTGTATCAACTTATTTAAGTTCTCATTGAGCACAGGGTGTTTCAAAGTGAAAGACGGTCAATTACTCATCAAATTAAGCGCAGGGTGTCCAATTACATCCCTTTTAACTTCTCTCTGGTCAGTTAATTGAGCACAGGGTGACATTAAATGGCCATAGGACAGTTAAAGAATCGCTTGAATCGCCCACAGGGAACATTTAATCTTCTTCGTTTCACTTACCCCTCTTAAAGAATCCAAACCTGGCGCTATAGCGCACATTATCGAATTGAATATCAATTTTTTTGATCGTTTTGTATTGCTCGTGGGGAAAAATGGAGCCGGCCGTGCTGCTGGCGCTGTGGCTGCCGGAGCTGGTGTTCTGGCTGCTGGCAAAGCTCTCCGGCGCGGCAGAGCCGAGGGGTGTGCCATAAATGGATGAGCTGGCCGAGAGCGCAATATTCTCCGGTTCCGCGAGCGGCGCATCGTGATCATGTGTTGTTGTTGTTGTTGTTGTTGTTCCTGTTGCTGTTGTTGTTGTTCCTGTTGCTGTTGTAGGTTGGATGTTCAATGTCAGATGTGGCGGCCGCTTTGTGTTCAGCTTCTTGGCGGGCACTGGCGTTGTTGGACGTGCTTTGTTCTGTGGATAATCAGTCGTTGTTGCCCCGTCTATGTCGGAGGCCGAGGCGCAGGCTTTAAGATTGTTGAGCCTGATGACGTCACCGGCAACGCCCGACACCGTGGGCGAAACGGCGCTGGCCAAGCTCCAGCTGGACATTTTGTTGTTTTCCTTTGTTGTTTGTTAAAAACTTTGACGTTTGTTGCGGCCGCTTTGGTCATCAAATTGCAATTACTTGTTACTTTTGTAATAGGATAAGAGCATCATTGGTAACCCTAGCCAGGGTATTATAGTGTCACTATCTATGTTAATTATAACAGTACGATAAGTAAATATCGATAAAGAAAAGCGGCTGCAGAGAAGAAGTGGAAGGCAGTCTCTCTACAGTACTAGCAGTAAGAAGACGTGTTGTTAAAAATAAAAAGGCAACCCGAACATAAGTTAAATCAACGAAGAAAATCATACTATTACAATATCAGAAGTGGGATTGACTCAGAAAAAAAAAAAAAAACACAACAAAATGGAAAATATAAATATAAATGACGTGTCAATAGCGACATTGAAAAGTTGGTTGGCATTACTAAATTTGCCAACAGAGGGTACCAAAACTGAGCTGATGGCGAGATTAAATAAGGTACCAGTGGATATCCGAGACGATGCTGCAAAGGAACTTGAAGTTCAACGTAACAAGGAACAGACAATTGAGGCTCAAAATGAGTTGCAAAACATAATGCAACAACAGCGTGACGAAATAGCAAATGGCGCCGAGATGCTGAAATTGATGCGTCTCGAAATTGAAGCGTCTCGAAAATTCCTAGAAGAATTTCAAGTAACGGTGAACCGCAACTCGCACATCGGCGGGAGCGACGGGGGAGAGCAAGAAAGTGAAGTCGGCGATTTATTGCAGCTAGAGGATGGTCACACTGAAGAAAGACCACGGTCGACGGATGGCAACGCTGGTGCAGCTGATTACACTGGAACGGATGGCAACGCTGGTGCAGCTGATCACGCTGGTGCAGCGGGCAACGCTGGGGCAGCTGGAAGGATCGACGAAAGTGGCAACGCTGTCGGAGGCAACTTAAATAATTGCATCCAAACTGGAGCGATGATGTTAGCCAAGGAAATTTTATTAGAATTTACTGGAGAAAGTGAGGTGCGTAAATGGGTAATGCAATTCTTCAATGTGGCCAAGATCTACAGACTAAATGATATGCAACAGCACTTGCTTTGTATAAGCAAATTGAAAGGCGGTGCTTTGAAGTGGTTGCATGCAGACCCTATGCGCATCATTGCTCCGATTGACGAGATGCTAAATCAATTGGTTTTGGCCTTCGGGGGAGGATTTTCGAAGTCGGAACTACGACAGAAGTTCGAGGATCGGGTTTGGAAACCAGATGAGGTGTTCGCCACATATTTTAGCGAAAAAAGCATATTGGCACAGGACATCAACATTGATGTAGAGGAGTTAATGGAGGGTATTATTCGAGGCATACCTTGCGAAAACTTGCGCACTCAAGCTAGTATGCATTGCTTTACCAATCCGGCTCAAATTTTACGTGCGTTTGCAGCTATAAAGTTGCCAATTAAACGGGTACGAAACCATGTAGTGAAACAAACTGCACAGGAAGCACAGGCGGACAAACAACAACGTTGCTACAATTGCAATGTTAAGGGCCATTGGGCCAAAGATTGTTTAAAGCCCAAACGGGAGGCAGGATCTTGCTATGCGTGCGGCTCAAAGGATCATTTAATAGCAGGATGTCCAAATAAAAAGTATGATATGGAAAACAAATATGTAAGATACTTAAGAATTCATTTTAGTAACTCATTTAACAAATCAATAATTGCAGAATGCCTTATAGACTCTGGCAGCCCTATTTCATTTTTAAAGGAAAAGTTTGTGCCATTAAAAGTAAAGCGTATGCCAGATGCAAATTCGTATGTAGGTTTAAATGAAAGTAAATTGAAAAATTTTGGAAAAATTTTATGTTTTATGAAGAAAAAGTTAATAAATGTTTATTTTAATGTTATAATTGTGGCAAATGAGTCTATGAGGTATGACGCTGTGCTTGGTAGAGATTTTATGGATTCTTTTGGTTTAAATATTGATTTAAGAACATTAAAAATTGTGAACGGGCATAAAGTTGATCACCAGAATAATGGTAAAAATGATATCATAGCTACAAGCTACAAAGAAAAACAAAAAAAAGTGGACGATGAAGATATCAAACACGAGCAAAATGAAACTATATTGTTAAATGATAAAATCGTTAATAAGGAAATAGTCAGTAATGAAACTGTTAGTGATGAATTAGTTAGTGAGAAAATTGTTAGTCCGGAAACGCTTGGTGATAAAGTTGGTAGTGATGAGATAGTTAGAAATAAAATAATTAGTGGTGAAATAGTTAGAAATGAAGTGATTGGGATCGAAACTGTTAGTGATGAGATAGTTAGTTATGGAGAGCTTAAGCTCGAACCTGATAGTGAAGAAGTTGTTAGTGATGAAATTATCTATAATCAAACCGGGATTGAAAAAGTGATTATAGAAGATATAGGAAACAGTGCAGTTAAAATTAATAATCATGTTAATGAAGCGCCAGTGAATAGCGAAATCATGGGAGTGTTAGAAGAGAATTTTGAGAAGGATATCTTAACAATAAGTTGGGAAGATTCTAACAAAAGAGAAAATATATATATTTTAAGTGAAGATATTGATTACAGCACAAAGTGTGAATTTGAAAATTTATTTGAAAATACTTATGTAAAAGCGAAAAGGCCAAATCAGCCAAAATTAAGACATGAGTTAAGCATAAGATTAGAAAACGACAAAGTATTTAATTGTACACCTAGGCGGTTATCTTATATGGAAAAAGAAAAGTTGCAAGAATTATTAGACGACTATTTAAAAGATGGAATCATTAGGCCAAGTTGTTCAGAGTATGCATCACCTATAGTACTAGTGAAGAAAAAAACTGGAGACATGAGGTTATGTATTGATTTTAGAAGACTGAACAAAATTATATGTAGAGACAACTACCCGCTACCATTGATCGACGATTTATTAGACAGACTATGCGGAAAAACAGTATTTTCAAAGTTGGATCTAAAAAACGGGTATTTTCATGTTTTTGTTAATGAGCAATCTATTAAATACACTTCATTTGTTACCCCTTTAGGACAATATGAATTTCTTAGGATGCCCATGGGTTTAAAAACTGCGCCACATGTATTTCAAAGATTTGTTAATAACATATTTTGTGATATGATAAAAGATAATAAGGTAATTGTTTACATGGATGATATTATGATAGCAAGTACAAACATAAAGGAACACATGGAGACCTTAAAGGAAGTGTTTATAAGACTGGTGCAAAACAAATTAGAGTTGAAATTAGATAAGTGTGAATTTTTTAAAAGCAGCGTTAAATATTTAGGATTTGTGGTGGATAGTAAAGGCGTTAGGGCTGATGAAAAAGGGTTAGAAGCGGTTAAATCCTTTCCAATACCAAACAAAATTCAGGGAGTACAAAGTTTCCTAGGGTTATGCTCCTACTTCAGGAGGTTCATTTTAAACTTTTCTATATTAGCTAAACCCTTATATGATTTATTGAAAAAAGATAAGAAATTCAAGTTTGGAGAAGAGGAGTTTAAGTGTTTTAATATGTTAAAAGATAAATTGTTAGAGGCGCCAGTACTATCAATATATAATTACAAAGAAGAAATAGAACTACATTGTGATGCCAGCGCAGTGGGATTTGGGGCTGTTTTATTTCAAAAAAAAGAAGATAGGAAATTACACCCGATTTTTTATTTTTCTAAAAGAACAACCGAAGTAGAGTCTAAATATCATAGTTTTGAGTTAGAAACGCTAGCCATCATTTACGCATTACGCAGATTTCGTATATATCTGCAGGGAAAACGATTTAAAATAATGACAGATTGCAACTCTTTAACTTTAACGCTTAACAAAATAGATTTAAATCCGAGAATTGCTAGATGGGCGTTAGAACTACAAAATTACGATTTTGAGTTAGTGCATAGATCGGGCAAGCAAATGCAACATGTGGATGCGTTAAGCAGATGTTATGAGGACATTTTAGTTATTGAATCCAATAGTTTTGAGGACAATTTAGTTATTTGCCAAAGCAAAGATGACAAACTGGTAGATATTAGAAAGATGTTAGAAAAAGAAGAGCACAAGCTATTCGAAATGAGAAATGGGGTCATTTACAGAAAAACAAATGATGGCAGATTAGTTTTTTATGTACCAAAGGATATGGAAGAACATGTACTTTACAAATATCATGATGAGTTGGGACATGCTGGGAGAGATAAGATGATCGATGCCATTGGAAAGAGTTACTGGTTCCCATATATTAAGGAAAAAGCAATAAAGCATATAGGGAATTGTTTAAAATGCATTGCCTTCGCCCCCAAGACGGGTAAGAGTGAAGGACTATTACATAGCATACCGAAAGGAAACAAACCGTGGGAGATGATCCATATAGACCATTATGGACCAATTAATGCAGGAAGGGCTAATAAATATATATTGGCGGTGGTTGACGGATTTTCAAAATTTGTTAGACTATATACAGCAAAGACAACAAGTACGAAAGAAGCGATTAAGGCATTAAAAGATTATTTCAGAGCGTATAGTAGACCTAAGTTCATTGTATCGGACAGAGGGAGTTGTTTTACTGCAAAAGAGTTTGATGAATTTTTAAAAAATGAGGGAGTAACGCATATTAAAATAGCAACGGGTTGTCCGCAAGCAAATGGTCAGGTGGAAAGGTTGAATAGAGACTTGGGTCCGATGATGGCAAAAATGGCGGAGCCAGAAAATGGTTTACATTGGGATGTTATTATAGAAAATGTTGAATATGCAATAAACAACACACAACACAAAAGCATAAAGAAATTTCCAAGCGAAATGTTATTCGGATTACAACAGAAAGGAAAAGTTGTTGATGAATTAAAAGAAAAATTAGAAGAGTTTACACAGGTGAACACGTGTGATAAAAGAAATTTAGAAAATATAAGAAAGAGTGGAGAAATATATCAAAAAGAAGCTCAAATCAGAAATGAAGAGCGGATTAATAAAAAGAAGAAAGTATCAGTAGAATATAAAATAGGTGACTATGTCATGGTAAAAAATTTTGATAGCACACCAGGAGTTTCAAAAAAGTTAATACCAAGATATAAAGGGCCTTATAGTATAGAAAAGATTTTAAAAAATGATAGATACTTGTTAAAGGATGTAGAAGGCTTTCAATTATCTCGCAACCCGTACGTTGGTATCTGGAATAGCCAAAACTTTAAGCATTGGATGCGAAAATAGGCAATAAGCATTAGTTATAAAGATAGATACACATATAAAAGACAGAGATCGGGAGCTCTCTTTGTCAGGATGGCCGAGTTGTAATAGGATAAGAGCATCATTGGTAACCCTAGCCAGGGTATTATAGTGTCACTATCTATGTTAATTATAACAGTACGATAAGTAAATATCGATAAAGAAAAGCGGCTGCAGAGAAGAAGTGGAAGGCAGTCTCTCTACAGTACTAGCAGTAAGAAGACGTGTTGTTAAAAATAAAAAGGCAACCCGAACATAAGTTAAATCAACGAAGAAAATCATACTATTACACTTTTAATAATACTTGTTTGTGTTTTTGTTGTTGTTTTTTTTTTCTCTCGAAATTTGTTTAAATTTATTCAAATTCCCTTTGCACTCAACACTTTGCTCTTCTGTCTCACTCGCTCTTAAGGGCGCGGCATGAAACAGAACAAAAAAAAAAAAAATTATGCATAAATAAATTTTTAGGCTCGACAAAAAAAAAAAAATGCTAATAAAAAACCGAAATGTTTGCTACACGCGTTGATGAGTTCGGTCTGTTTATTTGTTTTTGTTTTCGCATACATATAAAGAAAACGAAATGAGCGGCGCGCTCTTAAAAGCCTCTTCTCTGTGTGTGTGTGTGGGTGTGCGAGTTCATTAGCTTTTTAACTGACGGAATGATAGCGGAGTGAGGAACAGGGCACTGCTGCCAGTGCACTGTTGCTAATCAGAACTTGCCCCAAAACAAGTAGGCACAAAATAGCTCAAAGAGAGCAAAAGCGGTTTGTTGTTCTTGTGCTGCTTTTCGATTTCTTTTGCGGTGACATCTGCTGCTGTTGTTGTTGGTTGTGCTTTGTCCCACACGTGTCGCTCATTAGGCTGCGCTCTTGCCAACGGAACTGGGCTTGCTCTTATTTTGAAGTGCTCTTAACTGACTCGGATCCTGTGTAATTGCGCTATGCAACACGTAAAAAGTCTAACTAGTGCATATGTGACGCTCTCCCGCTCTCTCTCTGTCTCTCTCTCTCTCTCGCTCTTTATAAACAAAACACACTCAAAGCTCGAATGCACTTGAGGCAGGCAAATGAATATTTATTCACATATATATGTGTGCGTACATATATGCATATGTACATATATTTGAATTATAAGTGTTCTTTTTTGCGCGTCTTCTGCCTTTGTTTTGCCTATCTTAACAGTGGCACACATTAATATATAGTTTTTATTGTTAATCTTTTTTTTGTTGTTGTTGTTGTGGTAATTGCTGTTAATTGTTGAATCATTTACTTTAACTTTTACTTGGTTACGCTTTGCACACACTTTCATTCTCATTCTCTTCGCACTGCTGAGCGCCAAAAGCCAGCCGATTACCACATACGTATCTATTTATCTACGCGCGCGTGTGTTTGTGTGTGTGTGTGTGTGTGTGTTGATCTATCTTCCTGTTTTTTTCGGCCTATTTCATATATGTCATTTGCTAGTCTCTATTTCAATTGGCCACGCTACCACACACACACACACACACACACACACACACACGCTAGTTCTTATTAGAACATCAACGTAACATTGTGCCAAATGTGAACGTGTTGCTTGGCCTCTTTTGCGGCTTATCGCGATTCTTAAAAATGTCGCACTAAACCTCAATGTAAGCCACAAATATTGTTTTTCGATTGATTGGTCAAAAGTTACTGATTAGAACAGCTAGCTCTTTTGTTGTTGTTGTTGTTGTAATACAATCTGCGCTGATATGACACAATACACACGCACACACACACACACACGCACACACACAGGCTCGCTCACAAACACTCGACGCTTATTTGTCGCACACACAAATTACATTTTTAATACATAATTATTGTAATGTGCTATTTACTCAAATTTCAACGTTTCACGTTTAATAATCGCGTTTTGTATATTTGTTATATTTTTATATCTATATGCGACAGCGTCCAGTCAACGACGTACGATCCTCAGCGACCGTTAACATGGCACAGACTGTTTTCATATATGAAAAACTGAAAATTATATTCTGCTTGTTGCCCATTATCTCGCGCGCTACGACTCTCGCTGCTTCTCTCTCTCTTGCTCTCTTGCTCTCTCTTGTTTTACAGTGGCGCGCTGAGTGCGCTTATCGGTCGTGTGCGACCCCTTGCAGTGAGCAACTGACAACGCCGCTGTCTTTATTTATGTTCGCTTCATCGTGCGCTGCCGTTGCAGGGGGTGTGTTTTTCTTCTTGCACGCAGTGCATAATATGTTGTTGTTGTTTATTTGTATGCGACACATTTTTTTTTTTTCAATTCAGGGTTTGTACAGATTCATTTGTGGTAGGCCCACATTGCACTCTGCTCCTTTGTCTCAGCCCCAGCAGCAGCAAAACAAGTTTGACCAGTTATGAGTCTAAGAGAAAGAGAGATAGAGGGAGAGAGAGAGCGCATCGTTAATCGCCTGACTGCAATGCAAACATAAATATTATCAGCTGTTTCTCAATGGAAAACAATTAATGTAATATTTTTGATATTTTTCATTGACAACTTAATTGTATAATAAAGTTGTGTACATAAAATTACTGGTATTTGGAAAGTGCAAGTTCATTTTCTTAAAAATTGTAATGAAAATATTTAAATATGTGGCGCCCAGCTTATCGAATTCGGTTGCCTATCGAAATACTGTTGCTATGTGGACAGGCGGTCACACTGCTTTATTGATTTAACAGTTCTGACAGCTCTGTTAAGCTCACAGTTAATACTGAACATCATAAACGGCAAGAAGTGTGATATTTATGGAAAATTGTTAATATGCAAGAATTGAATTAATGAAACTAAAAATTCAAAAGTGACAATGTGCTAAATAGTTGTAAAAGTTTCGTCGAGTTATTTGTGTGCAATTATATTCAAACTCTGCATCAGACGGAAAAAAACATCGATAACAATATCGATAGGCGGCGTATGTAAAAAACTACAATCGCGCTACAGCTGTGCCCTGTGACAATTTTGCTAAAAGTTTTTCTATCGAGCCGCGGCCGCCGACGCAAATAGAAGCAGGAAAACGGGCAAAAAGAAAGAAACTACAAATTTTTGTATTTTTTTTTAAACTATACAAACAAAGCCCAATATGACTGATATGCGCAATGAGATGGACAGCGATCTGGATCAGAATTACTCGCTGAACAGCAATGCGGATCCCAAGAATATGCAAGAGCTGACAATCTATGTGAGTAAAATGCAAAAGCCACGACTAAATAGCAGTAAATACAACAACACGCCACCGCTCACCTGCCGCCGACCCTCGCCCTTCCCCCGCACTTTCCATCACTCCATCTCTCCGTGCATGTGTGTGTGTGTGTGTTGTGTTATTCTATTAGGTACAAAATCTCTTGCAGAACGTACAGGATAAATTCCAGACGATGTCGGATCAAATCATCACACGCATCGATGATATGGGCAATCGCATCGATGATCTGGAGAAGAGCATTGCGGATCTGATGAATCAGGCGGGCGTCGAGGGAACGGCCCCAGAGAAATAATAAGTGCCAGTGCCACGCCCATAATCAAGGCACATATCGCATTCACATAAAGCATATACATCGAACATACATACGCACGCACACGCACACACACTCACTCACATTCATGCACACACACACACAGATACATTTGTAACAATTCCAGCATTCACATCCCGTGCACCCACATTTAATTGCTCTCAAACTGTAAAACACAAAAATCAAACCAAATTTTGCTCATTTCGTTTTTTTGCATAGTTTTAAGTTGTCAAAATTAAGTTAAGTACATTTTTGAAAGTTTTGTTGTTTTCGAGGCAAGGCAAACAATTTCGCAACATTGCCTTACAATTTTAATTACAATTAAAAATCGAGAATTGTACACACACAAAGAAAAAACAAAAAAAAAAAAACAGAACATAAAACCTCAATTCATGTCAAACTGTTAGTATTAAGCACGCTTCGATTCAACAACGGTCACCAGGCGACGTCCTCCGCCGGCTGCCACCTCAGTTGCTATTCCCGCGCCGCGTTCCGTGCGCGGCTTCCTGAACGCCGCCTGCAACGAGAGGGTGCATGATTCAGGGGGAGGGGGGAAGGTTTCACCTGATTAGTTATGCATTCATCTATTGTGATACCCTTGCAGAGGGGAATTTGAGTTTTGTGTGAAAGATGTCTCCAGTTCTTAAAATTATTTACAAAATTTAAAGCTATCTTATTGTAACTGGGAATATGTTTCTCGACGGGATCGTATATATCATATAGTTATCGGAAATATTGCTCGACATAGGTATAGACATAAAGAGAATATCATTAATATCGCATTGCTTTAGCAAAGGTAAAGCTGTTTGTTTTTCAAGAGTTTGCCATGAGCCTTTCTATGCGCTTCTCATTCCATCAGAATCTTTACCACATCCTAGCACTGTCAATAGGAATATTTGGCAATTAATTAACATTTTATATGGAAATATTTGTCACCCAGAAAAGGTCTGCAAGGGTATTTGGACTTCGGCTGCCCGAAGCTGCTTCGATTCTTGTTTATTTGGGATAAATAATGTGGCGTGTGTTTTGTGGGCAAGCGCGGGCGAGCTATGCAAATGAGTGCTAAGCTGTTCCCTTGTTCCCTAGTTTTGGGGCACATGGAATTGCTTTTGCAATCTTACGTGCGTGGCTGCCACGGCCTTAAACGGATGCTTGACGGTCTGGCGCGCTGGCTTGCTGGACGAGTCCTTGCCGCGCGTCTTCACGCCGAACACATTCTCGAGTGGGGTTGAGGGCGTTTCCTGATCCAGTTCATCGTCTGAGGCGCTGCCGGAGCCCTCTTCCTGCCCCACCTCCTCGGCGCTTTGTTCGCTCTCCTGTTTCGGTTACAATGATTATCACAGATATGCTCTCTGCTGTGTGCTTGTCTAAAGCTTACCGCCTCCTCCTCCTGCTCTTCATCGTCTTCGTCGTCGTCGTCGTCCTCGTCCAGCTCGCTCTCATCGTCTTCATCATCCTCCTCCTCCTCGCTCGGTTCGGCCTTGCTGGAACGGCTTATGCCGGCGCCAGTTAAATTCTTGCTGCTTCTGGATAGCTTATGCTGACGCTTGAGCGGACTCAAGTGATCACGCTCCAGGCTGTCCATAGACTGGGCGCGCAGACCCTTCTTCAGCGTTGACTTGCGTGCGGTGGGCTCCTCTTTGGTTTTCATCAGCTTCTGGAATTGCAGAAAATCGTCGCGCTCGTCGATGTTGCACACATCGTAGTAGCTGGCGCTGAGCACCTCCAGCGCCTTGGTGTGTTGCTTCATGGCAATCAGTATAAAGTCGCTGAGCACCTGCTTTACGTCCCGCAGCTTGCGCTGCTCAAAGCTGCTGATGATCTCGTCGATCTCCTTGTTGGTGCGCTGCACCTCCATTTTGGTCTTGAACAGCTCCGAATCGGCGGCGCTCTGCTTGAAGGGGATCTCTTTTTCTATTTAGCCAGCGATCGCTTTACTTTCTGAACAACTCACATTGTTGGCCGCAAACTTGGACTTGAGCTCCAGCATTTGGCGCTGGCTAAGCACCTCCTTGTCCCGGGCTATGACAGCCAAGCGCAGACTGTCCCTCGTCGATTTGCACAGCTGCTCAAAGTGCGCCAGCTCGTTGACTATCTGAAAGTCAAACAAATTAGTCTGTCTGTGCATCGCCCTTTGCCAGGCCATGTCACCTTCAGCTCCAGCCTGTGCACATTGATATCCATGTAGTCGCCGGTTATGGTCAGCGCATTGGTAAAGCTCTTCAGGCCGTTGCAGAGGCTCTCGTTGATCTCCTCGTCATCGGCGTAGTTTTTAATATTCTTGGCCAGCTCATCGTGTGCATCGCGGTATCTGTAATGGGCTTAAAACTTGAGGCAACTTGTTAACTCAACAAATTTTCGTGCTAACTTGGCCATTTTCCGTGTGAGCAGCGAAAATGCTGAACACATTTCCATCAAATGCCGTTCGGTGAGATTAATGCGTTCGTTGATTATCTTGATGCGATCATCTTTGCTGCTCAGAAAGGAGAACTTGCCGCGTCGAAACATTTTAATGCCAAATTCAAAGTGTGCCCTTTTTTTTTTTTTATAAACACAAAATCAAAACAAAAATGTTGCCAGGACAACGCAGGGTTGCTTTATGCGGCGCATACATACATATATATCGTTAAGTCTGTTAAGCATAACATGTTGGCAAAACAGATTTTCCAAAAGTTTCTTTAATCCACAGTTTTTATTTAATTTGAGAAAACTGCGACAGCTGCAAATTAAATTTCAAAGTTTTGCGGCATTGGTTTTTGAATATCGATACTTTATTTAACTGCAATCGATAGTACTTAAAAGCAATAGTATCGCTTGCAGCCGGCTGTAATTTTCACTAGTAAACGTCAGATGGCGCCAACATCAAGCATGGTCTAGAGTGCGTCGCGAATATAAAGTCTTAAGTTAAATACATTTCAATCGTCGTGTTTTTTTTTTTAAAGATTCGTCCAAAATATATCCCCAATATAAAGAGTGTCAGGGTCAAGAGCATGTGGCGCCCATAGCTCATGTGTACGTGGGCGTAGACAGACAGCAGCCAGCTATGGAAAAGCTGTTCTATATTTAAACACAAGATCCATGACAAAAAGAAAGAGAAAGAAGAAGGAAGAGAGAAAGCAAACAACTGTAATTAAATCAATATGATTCAATTCTGATCAGTTTGTCCTGACCTTGATGCCAGTTTCTTTGGAATTTAAGTGTTTCGGCAACCGCAAGAATGTTGTTGCCACAACTTGTAAAAATTCCCAGCCAAAAAAGACAAAAAAAAAAAAAAAAACCCAAAAAAAACCGTAATTAATTTTATAATTTAAAATGCTTTTCGCACTTAAGGCAATGCACGCCTGAACCGGTACAAAATAAAGCACAGTAAAATGTGCAGTTAAATGCGAATCCGGTTGGGCAGAGAAGGCAAAACACGCACGACATACATACATACACATGTACATATATACACATACATACATACATACATACTCGTGCGTATGACGAGAATAAAATGTGAAGAATCCGCGATTGTGATCCCAATCAGGGCGACAGAAGACAACAATAAAAAAAAAACAAATGTACTGGGCTCAGCGCGATGGAGTTGGTCTTTTGTTGTACCCTATGTTATGCATAGAAGAGGCATGTTGTTTTATACAAATGATATGCACGTATTTTGATATCTTGGCATGTCCAGGTAAGTGTTGATTTGTTTTGCGCTTAATTTTGAACAACAAGTTTTACGTTAGTTATAGTATATATAGTTAGTTATATATACTTGCCATAGGATGTCTGCTAGTCGAACACTCTGCAGTTGAGCACACCTTTCTTTTTCTAGCTTCTCATTGACACACAGATAACGTTGCTTGGCGCGCGTTGCTCGTCGTCGCTGACGATGGGCTATAAATTTTTAATGAAAACAATTTTTTTTATTGAAAAATTTAAATGAAAAATTGCAAGTTTTAACTGAAAAACGGGCTACGTTCGTTCTGTTCGTAACCAAAAGCGCAGCCCCTTGACATTCACTTTTTAAGGCACTGTGCGTGCCGTTGCATGCGATCCAGTTCTTGATCGTACGGCGCTCTCTTGCTCTCCCCCTCCTCCCCCCTCTGACCGTGCGCACATTGCTGTTCCTGGCGCTCTTGCTGTCCCACTCGCTCGTTGCGTATTCTTTGTGTTGGGTCAGCTGCGTGCGTTGGTATAAATGAAGCCAAATTTGTACGCAACGTTTAGTCCGAAATTTCATACAAAAGTCAACAGACGCGAGACCCCTGCGATCGCGCGTACAAGAGAAACAACAAAATAACCGTAAATAAATTTGCGAATATTTGTGCTTACATACATACATACATACATATACATATGTGTGTGCCCACTTGTTTAGCATGCCCGTGTTATTTCCGTTTGATGTTTATAAACAAAAAAAAAAAAATCTGTTTAAAGAAATTAAATACACAAAAAAAAAAAAAAAAACAGGCATGAAAAGTGAAATTGAAATGTGTGCAAAATCTGAAATGCGTTAATAAACATTGTTTATACAATAATAAAGGTCAAATGCGCGTGCGAGCCATAAACATAAATTGTGTTTAAATATCGTAAAAAATATTTTTATTTAGAATCAGAAATTCAAAAAAAAAAATATATAATTTTGTTAATGCCTCGGAAAAAACCTTTCTTGAAAATGGTTTGTTTTTTTGAGCAAGATAATTAGATAATTGTTTTGTAACTGGGCTGCTGAAATGCATTAAAATTAATCGTGATTTTTAATATGCACTTGATCTGATCGTGTCGAGCGTGGAATAACAAATTATCAAGAATAACTCAATCATAAACAAATTAATTATATACCTGACGTAAAGATGCTTAGCCACATTTGTTGGCAATATAACTAAGTGCACATAAATGTTATCGATAACATCTGATCGATAACTCAATTGAGCGAGTGTGAGTGCGAAGAAGAAGAAGAAACAACAACTTTAAATTGTTTATATAGCCACAACTTTGACCTTGAACCCGACAGTCAGTCAAGCAACAACAAGTGATTATATTGCCAACAGGCTGATTGACATCATTTCTCTGGGGCTAACACTGAAAAGCGAGGCAAAAATAAACAAAAACTAAATAAAATAAAATAAAATGAAATAGCGTATAAACGTGCAGCTAACGAAGCATAAACAACAATTGATTAAGCCGCAAATAAGCTTTGCAAAAAAGGGGCACATGCAACAAATAAATACTAGAAATAAATATATGTACATACAAATGCATTTTCATACAACAGCAAAAATTGCGCATTCGCCGCGTTTGCCGCCATTCATTACCGTACACTGATGTCCAAATAAACATGTCCAGCTGTCAAAGCAATTACTAATTGGCTTTACTTTCATAATTGGCTTGTCTATATTTTTGTTTTTGAGTCAAGTGAAGTTGCGTGAGACTCGTAAAACGATTTGAAAGATTATATGGAGCTATAAATCTAGAAAGAGTTGTTGCTTTCAGAGCGAAGAGTTAGCTGTATACAATATTTTCAAAAAAGTGTCAGTCGCTTTCGTTTCTCCCCGGCAGCATCCAACACCTTTTTCGTGTTGCCAGATAATATGCGATATCGCCCATCTATCGCCTTCTTATCTTCCGCCATATTTACTGTTTGCAGGGCATGTCATAGTCTCTACGACCCTCTAACTTAATTGTACTCGTACTCCCACAAGATCACAATCGATCAATATGCAATATCGCCCATCTATCGCCTTCTTATCTTCCGTTATAAATATTGTTTGTAGGGCGTGTCATAGTCTCCATAACCCTCTATCTTAATTGTACTCGAAATCGCACAAGATCACAATCGATCAATAAGCGATATCGCCAATCTATCGCCTTCTTATCTTCCGCCATATTTACTGTTTGCAGGGCATGCCATAGTCTCTACGACCCTCTATCTTAATTGTACTCGTAATCCCACAAGATCACAATCGATCAATAAGCGATATCGCCCATCTATCGCCTTCTTATCTTCCGCCATATTTACTGTTTACAGGCCATGCCATAGTCTCCATGACCCTCTATCTTAATTGTACTCGTACTCCCACAAGATCACAATCGATCAATATGCGATATCGCCAATCTATCGCCTTCTTATCTTCCGCCATATTTACTGTTTGCAGGGCATGTCATAGTCTCTACGACCCTCTATCTTAATTGTACTCGTAATCCCACTTGTTTTTAGCTATGGATTTATTTTAGTGACTTTTTCGCTGTCATTTATTTATATTAATAACACGCTCAACTAATTGAGTGTGAGTGCATGCTACGAGCGCGAGTGTGAGTGTGAATCTGAGTATCTCGCTAGTCTCTCGCAGTCTCCAACATGCTCACCTATCTGTAACGCTCAAACTGTTGCTCATTTTACTCAGTGATTTGTGTCGCTTTTACGTTCCGAACGTTCTGTTTATTTGTCGTTTCCTCAACGCATTTCAGCGCATTTGACTATTGTTTGTCTTACGAAACAGAACCGAATCCGGCAACCGGTGCCAGAACACAAAAAAAAAAACCTAAACAAATCAAAACAGAATTTAATAAAAGTGCTTAGCATAAAAACAAAAACAGAAACAAAAAAAAAACATTAATTTGTTCAACTCAAATAAAAAACAAAAGGCAAAGGAGAAAAATATCGTGTGAAAATAAATATGAAGCTGCTGTGCGGTGTTCTGCTGATCGTGTTGGCTGTCAGCGACGTTTGGACTTTGCCAGGTGAGTTCTAGACTTATTTGAGAACCCTATAAAATATATATATATTTAGTATATTGGCTGGGCAAAACAAGTTTGGGCGGCCTTCATTAGGCGATCCGACAAATAATTCTATATATATATAAATTAAAAAATAAGATTTCCCCGCACCGGGATGATCATTAAAATGTTCAAGTTGATAATGCTGTTGGCGGCCTCTTGAACTCGCGATTGTCTCGCTCGTATCAACAATGCAAATTGATAAAGCTAGGCTACACACGGTAAAAAAAAAAACGATCTCGAAAGTTCTAGAATGAAAGGCTCTGTGCCTCAATCAAAAAACGTTGGAACTTAACTTGATTTTTAAATAGTTTTTTTGATCTTATAAAAAAAGCAAAACAACTCTATTTAAATGAAAAAAAAATCTTTAACAGGAATTTGTAGGCTTAAAAAAAGCATTGGGCACTTATTGTTTAACAAAAAAAAATGGTTTAGAGAGGAAAATTTCGACATTTATCAAAGGAAAAAAAACATTGCTTAGAGAGCAGAATTTCGGGTTTGGGAAATTTGTGGAAAAAATCTCTTTTTAGTTTAAGGAATAACGAACTTGTTTGAATTTCAAGCTCTGCCTAATTTGCGTAGAAAATTTAACTTAATTTCGAGGAAACAAAACTGTCCGAATAAGAATTTTCGCTAAGTGTGGGCATTTTCTAGGAATTACGGCATAATGATGCTCGATTTTGATAAGAACGGTGCAGGCAACAACACTTGACAATCAGCAAAACTGCAAAATGCATCCTGCAGATACAAGATACAAGATACCAAATAGAAGATACAAGCCAGCAGCAAACGCAGCTGCCTCATCATCGTCATCGTCATGGCTGTTGCTGCCTTTGGCTGCCACTTGAATGCATAAATTGCAGCAGCTAAAGTTGAAGAAGCTGAATTGCTTGCAGACAGCAGGCGCAGCAGTCGACGGGGTGTTTGAGGGAGTTGTGGAAAGGAGGATGAGGAGGGGGGGGGGGGGGGTGTATGTGTGTGGTGCAACGGCAGCTGCCAGTGCCACTTGAAGTTGTCAAATTTGCAGCAGTCAAATCATTTACCAGGAAATATGCAAATTTTATGCATATTTCCGATGGACAAAAACACGATTTTTTTTTATTTTTATAAATTTTTGCTTAAACGCTGCTTTAATATTTCGAAATCAACTAGTAAGAGTATTTCATCTGCGAATTTGGAGTAAAAATGCAAATGCAAACCCATTCCATATATGGAATGCATATGTTTGCAGGGTATTCAATCTTCGGTGTTTCGTTAAACAAGGAAAATGAATGGAAAAAGAATGTAAACATATTCGATATATGCTAAGTTTGTAAGGGCATTTCAGCTTCGGCCTTATGTCTTAAATTTCTCGAGACAAAACAAGTAGTTGGAAGCAAAACAAATTTTTGATCTCAAGTTCAATAATATCAGCCAGAATAATAAATAATTATTGAGACCAGGAATGGGAAAACATAAATAAATACAGTCATTTTTAAAATACTATGGAATTTTTGCTGTAGCATGAGATGCGATTGTGTTGAATTTTGTTATAAATATGGAAAAAAATGGAAAAATTTGCACCAAGCTTAGATATCAGTATGTGAAATCTATAGCCACATCTTATGACTCATGCACAATTTGAAATGTATATATATATATATATTAATATATACATGTAGGGCTGGCAACTCTGTTAGTTAGAGGTAACCGCCGGATAAAATGTTAGACGACGCATGTTAAGTAACAGAAGGGCTGGTAACAGGAGCTTAAGATAACAGAGAATAGAGTTGGGTTCGAGTTTCTGAGCTTAGATAAAATTAATATGTTAAGTGTAATTTAAGGGCTTCAGAAGATCGTTGTCTATATTTGTACATATTTTAGTGGGTATTGCCCGGCTTTGCCCGTGTAACGTTTTGTGCGTGGGAAATTGAA